GAATTTGAATTTCAACGTTGCGAATAGTGCCCCATGGTGGCGGTGGGGTCTTCCATGGCTTGCATACTCACCAGACATGTCACCCATTGAGCATGTTTGGGATGCTCTGGATCAACGTGTACGACATCGTGTTTCAGTTCCCGCCAATATCCAGCAACTTCGCACAGCCATTGAAGAGGAGTGGGACAACATTCCAACAGGACAATGACCCTAAGCACACAGCCAAGACAATGCAGGAGTGGCTTCGGGACAAGTCTCTGAATGTCCTTGAGTGGCCCAGCCAGAGCCCGGACTTGAACCTGATCTAACATCTCTGGACAGACCTGAAAATGGCTGTGCAGCGACACTCCCCATCCAACCTGACAGGGCTTCAGAGGATCTGCATAGAAGAATGGGAGAAACTCCCCAAATACAGGTTTGCCAAGCTTGTAGCGTCATACCCAAGAAGACTCGAGGCTGTAATCGCTGCCAAAGGTGCTTCAACAAAATACTGAGTAAAGGGTCTGAATACATATGTACATGTGATATTTCCGGGTTTTAAAAAATATATAAAGTAGCAAAAATTGATAAATTAGTTTTTGCTTTGTCATTATGGGGTATTGTGTGTAGATTGATGAGGGAAAAAACTATTTCATAAATTTTAGAATAAGGCTGTAACCTAAAATGTGGAAAAAGTCAAGGGGTCTGAATACTTTCTGAAGGCACTGTACTGGGCTCCAGACTGCAAGTATTTATTTAATAGCATTTTGCGACCATTTGACTTGGCTGTGCGAGTAAAAAAATGTATTGGTCGCATCGGTACGAGTTGCACATTCTACCTGGTCATCTCAATCCTAACGTCCTATTTTTTGGGCGGATAAAACCGTGATTTGGTCAAACAGTAATTATCCTCATTTTTCCTGAAATGAAAGCATCTACCCTGCCCGTATGCCTATTTCGCTTTGGCCCGCCACTGTGATGAGCGAACCACTATCTCTCTCCCCTCATGTGCGCCCCGAAAAATGCATTCTATTTGTATAACATTTAAAAATTAAACTGTGGGGGAAAAAACTTTGGAAACTACTGTTTGAGAGAGGAGCATCTCAGCTTTTTTTGCATCTCTCAATATTGAGCTAGTAGCTCACTGTTTTATAACCAAGATATCTGATATGCCTTTGAGATATGGAGCGTGCGAAATGCGCATCGGCCATTGAGAGTTTATTTATAAAGCCATTTTTACAACAGCAGATGTCACAAAGTTTTATACAGAATCCCAGCCTAAAACCCCAAACAGCAAGCAATGCAGATATAGAAGCACGATGGCTAGGAAAAACTACCTAGAAAGGAAGAAACCTAGAGAGGAACCAGGCTCTGAGGGGTGGCCAGTCCTCTTCTGGCTGTGCCAGGTGGAGATAGTACATGGCCATTAAGGCCAGATTGTTCTTCAAGATGTTCAAAGATGACCAGCAGGGTCATTCAGAGAGAGAGCTGGTCCGGGACAAGGTAGCACGTCCGGTGAACAGGTCAGGGTTCCATAGTCGCAGGCAGAACAGTTGAAACTGGAGCAGCAGTCCGACCAGGTGGACTGGGGACAGCCAGGAGACATCAGGCCAGGTAGTCCTGAGGCATGGTCCTAGGGCTCAGATTCTCCGGGAGGGAGAGCATTAGACGGAGCATACTTAAATTCACACAGGACACCAGATAAGACAGGAGAATTTCACCAGATATAACAGACTGACCCTAGCCCCCCGGCACATAGACTATTGCAGCATAGATACTGGAGGCTGAGACGGGGGGGACGGGGGACACTGTGGCCCCGTCCGACAATACTCCCGGACAGGGCCAACCAGGCAGGATATAACTCCACCAACTTTGCCAAAGCACAGCCCCAACACCACTAGAGGGATATTAACAGACCACCAATGTACTACCCTGAGACAAGGCTGAGTATAGCCCACGAAGATCTCCTCCACCGCACAAGCCCAGGGGGACGCAAAACCAGACAGGAAGATCACGTCTGTGACTCAAGTGACACACCCCTCCTAGGGACGACATGGAAGAGCACTAGTAAGCCAGTAACTCTGCCCCCATCAGAGGCAGAGAATCCCAGTGGAGAGAGGGGAGCCGGCCAGGCAGAGACAGCAAGGGCGGTTCGTCGCTCCAGTGCCTTGCCGTTCACCTTCGCACCCATGGGCCAGACTACACTTTATCGTAGGACCTACTGAAGAGATGAGTCTTCAGTAAACACTTTAAAGGTCGGGAACGAGTCTGCATGTCTCACATGGATAGGCAGACCATTCCATAAAAATTGAGCTCTATAGGAGAAAGCCCTGCCTTCAGCTGTTGCTTAGAAATTCTAGGGATAATAAGGAGGCCTGCGTTTTGTGACCTTAGCGTATGTGTAGGTATGTACGGCAGGACCAAATCGGAGAGATAGTTAGGAGCAAGCCCATGTAATGCTTTGTAGGTAAGCAGTAAAACCTTGAAATCAGCCCTAGCCTTAACAGGAAGCCAGTGGAGAGAGGTTAGCACTGGAGTAATATGATCAAATGTTCTGGTTCTCGTCAAGATTATAGCAGCCGTCTTTAGCACTAACTGAAGTTTATTTAGTGCTTTATCCGGGTAGCCGGAGAGTAGAGCATTGCCGTAGTCTAATCTAGAAGTGACAAAAGCATGGAATATTTTCAGATTTTTGCGATGTTACAAAGATGGGGGAAAAAAGCTGTCCTTTAAATATTATTGATAATATGTTCATCAAAAAAGAATCAAGCCTATACGTTATTAGTGCACATAAAGATGTAGGCAAATTCATCTCTATTAAATAAACCATAAAACAAATTTTGAACCCCTATTTCTACAGTAAAATATATCAGTATCCTAATTGTCAACCCAAAATTCATGACAATCCCTGGATTAGGTTGCACATCAAAATATCTTGAATCATGCATTCCTGCTTGAACAGGTTAGATGAAACAACATCTCAGTAGTCTATTACACTTCTTAATAAAACACTTGTAATGACTTTATGACATTGTAAGGTAATCAAAAATATATACAGTTGAAGTTGGAAGTTTACTTACATAGACTTAGGTTTGAGTCATTATAACTTGTTTTTCAACCACTCCACACATTTCTTGTTAACAAACTATAGTTTTGGCAAGTCAGTTAGGACATCTACATTGTGCGTGACACAAGTTACTTTTCCAACAATTCTTTAGACATATTATTTCACTTATAATTCACTGTATCACAATTCCAGTGGGTCAGAAGTTTACATACACTATGTTGTCTGTGCCTTTAAACAGCTTGGAAAATTCCAGAAAATGATGTCATGGCTTTAGAAGCTTCTGATAGGCTAATTGACATCATTTCAGTCAATTGGAGGTGTACCTGTGGATGTATTTCAAGGCCTACCTTCAAACTCAGTGCCTCTTTGCTTGACATAATGGGATAATGAAAAGAAATCATCCAAGACCTCAGAAAAAAAAGTGTAGACCTCCACAAGTCTGGTTCATCCTTGGGAGCAATTTCCAAACGCCTGAAGGTACCACGTTCATCTGTACAAACAATAGTACGCAAGTATAATCACCATGGGACCACGCAGCCGTCATACCGCTCAGGAAGGAGAAGCGTTCTGTCTCTTAGAGATGAACGTACTTTGGTGCGAAAAGTGCAAATCAATCCCAGAACAACAGCAAAGGACCTTGTGAAGATGCTGGCGGAAATGGGTATAAAAGTATCTATATCCACAGTAAAACGAGTCCTACTGTATATCGACATAACCTGAAAGGCCGCTCAGCAAGGAAGAAGACACTGCTCTAAAACCGCCATAAGGACAACTCAGAGTATGCTATTCTGTTCTTCTGAAATAGACTACATTTTCTTCATATCATGTTTCTTTAGACCTGTCTAAAATAAATAATGGATTTATTGTGGAGGTGTAGGCTATATTACATGGATTTATTATACTTTTTAAAATGTGATGTTCCAAAGGTCTGCATTAGTGGCTTGTAGGCTATGTGTGGAAGCCAGGAGATGCAACAATTGTTTATGTTAAATAACGGCCAATTACCGTGAAACCGACAGTTATTTGGCTTGACAATCACCGGCTGACGAAATGTTGTGACCGCCACAGCCCTACGAGTTCCCCAAAATAAAGATAATTAAGTCCAATGTCACTTAGATCATTAAGTCCAATGGTAAGCTAAAGATTATCTTTGTTTTGTGGGAACTCACCCCTGATCGGTCGCAAGGGCCCCCAACCAAAACTGGCGTAGGGCCCCCAAAAGCAAGGGTCGGCCCTGGATATTTTTGCTTTACAGTCATTGTATATGGTCATTTTTAGATATACAGGGTTAAGTTGATCATTCCATAACGAGGACAACAATTACATTTTCTACCAGCACTTAGCGGGAGGAAAATACAAGTTCACTTCATAAAAACTTCCAAATGGTCTAAACCATTTGATTTTGAGACTGGTGAAATCCAAAGGTGTGCTATATATTCATTGGCTATGTCATAGCACATTTTTTAAAGATAAATATTGATACATTACTAGCTCAAATACTTTGACTCTGCAAAAATGACGAATTAATTAGTGGGTGATTTCAGATCAAAAGTGGGGGGACAAACATTGCACCCCCTTATCTAATAGTGGGGAGGTAGATGCCCAGTTTCCCTTATGGCTCAGCTCAGGTGCCTACATACACAATAGACGTACACATGTACATAATTTACACACACACACCAACACACAGAGAAGTCGGCTCAGACAGATCCAGCTCAGAGGCACAGCTCATGAGCTCCGTCAGTAGCAGATTTTAATTTACAATTAATGTGTTTATGTAAGAAATGTTAGTGTAATTCACCGAATCGCATTGATTCGTTCCTCTAATCAAACCGATTTGTTTCAAACTAAAATGTATCATTCCTGTATCGTATTGGAGCCCATGTATCTAGTACATATGAAATTGTCTTGAAAGGGAAATATGCACATCCCTGCTAATGACTATATTCATGTTTTGTCCCACAGGCGGAGGCCAGGCTGGCTGCAAAGAGAGTGGCCAGGGCGGAGGCGAGGGACATCCGAATGAGAGAACTCGAACGGCAACAGAAAGAGGTGTACACTCTCTCTCTCACACACACACACACACATTTAGTGATACAGGTACAGTCAATGATTTAGTCAACTCTGATTCATTCAAGAAAGACATCCTGCCATTTCTCTCGTTGAACCAGGAAATGTGTTGGGGTGTACGAGTGCTGCATGTTCATAGATCAAATCCAGATATCTGTATATAAACCATCTTTCACATTTATTTTTCTCTTTCCCTTGTATGTAAATTATGAACCTTGTGTGACTAACTGAGTCTATATCATATAATAAGATATTTGTGTGTTCAACTCCCTGGCACTCCCTTCCTCCCTCCCCCTGTTCTGTCCAGCTCTCCTCTCACCACTCCTCATCCAGCAGCAGAAAAAGCTGGGGCTCGATCCACCAATGGATGGTAACGTTAGGCCAGGGAGCATGGGCCTCTCTCTATACTAACACAGCCTGTTATGTTGTGTGTGTGTGTGGGAGCTGGCCTCTCTACCCCCTAAACAGTGCCCTCTGATGACAGAACCTTACATCACATTATAAATATTGTTCTGCAATGTATTTGCTTAGGAGGAGACACCTTTATCTGTGGCTGTGCGTTGAGAGTTGGCTTTGGCCTCTTACCTTATTTGGGTCTTTTGTGCTATACAATGAGGCAGTTTGGGGGATAACGTTGATATGCATTGGAATGAGGTACTTTGGTCCTGTTTTCTGTTCTCTAACCACAATTGAGTGAGCGTTGCTGAAATGGCCTAGTTCCTAGGGCTGTTGCGGTGACCGTATTACCGCCACACCGGCGGTCACGAGTCATGAAGGCAGTCAAGTTCCACGTGACTGTTTAGTCACGGTAATAAGACTTCTCCAAGCTCTGATGCTGCTGATGGTCATTCACACATCTATTAGTTAGTATTTGTAAAGACAAGATTAAATCAAGAATAATCTGATGGATTACCATATTAGCCTATCACTTGTGAATGATATATTATCACTTGTGAATGATGCCCAGCTTAAGGCAAGAGACAATGCCTTTTTTGGTGACTTTTTCTAATCATAGTCACACACCTCATGTAGCTTATATGTTTTGATAAGGTTTTTATCACAGCTAATGTGGCCAAATAACTTCTTAAAATTAAGCACGTTAATCAGCTTTAAACGGGGTGTCGAGCCTAACTGGCATACATAAGCAGCGTGTGAGTTTCAAGTTTGGGGAAGATAATTTTCACCATAAAAATGCAACTTTATAATAAAAGCATTAAAGGTCACTTTTGATAATGGTGTTTTCCTGCTAATAGAACATTCGCGCTTATAGCTTACTGCCGTATGCGCATTGCTGCGCTTATAATGTGAAGAAATAGCCTAATAGTTTATCAACATTTTAAGCTAAACGTTCTGATCTGTTGCATCAGCCTCATTGCGTAAAAAAGTGGCTTTGATGCTAGTGGTTGTATTAATTTGGGATCTATTGCATTCCACAACTGTCCCAGACTATGTTTTGAATATTGATTTCTCTCACAGAATAGAATAGGTCAACTTTTGTACTATGGGGGATAGTACTGTAGCTCAGTTGGTAGAGCATGGCGCTTGCAACGCCAGGGTTGTGGGTTCATTTCCCACGGGGGGCCAGTATGAAAATGTATGCACTCACTAACTTTAAGTCGCTCTGTGTAAGAGCGTCTGCTAAATTACTAAAATGTAAATGTAAAATGTAGATTGACATAGGCTAGTGCTTTTGCTGTTCGTTAGGCTTACTCATCTTGTTGGCTGACGAAAAATAAATGTGCACAGTTCTTCCAATATCTTAATATGCACCTCGGAATTGGATAAGGATGCGCAGTTGCATCCCCGATGTGTCTGTCTTCACTTGTAGCCTGTCAGAAAGACCCGATCACGTGATGGAGAGCCATGTGAGTAAGAGGTGCTTCGGAGCCTGCAGCACTCAGGGAGAAGGGCACAACGCAGCACTCCGGGCCAAGAGCACAACGGCCACTGGCCGCAAAAGGCATGGATTTTTTTAGGGTGCATTACAGCCACACAAAGGCCGTAATTTAAGTTACATGAATAACTCTAAATTAAGCATATAGGAGTACCTATTTCTTTGTTAGACCCATGGGGCGGCGCACAATTGGCCCAGCGTCGTCCAGCGTAGGGCAGGGATGTAGCTCAGTTGGTAGAGCATGGCGTTTGCAACGCCAGGGTTGTGGGTTCGATTCCCACGGGGGGGCCAGTATGAAAAAAAACACACAAAAAAGAATAATGTATGTACTCACTAACTGTAAGTCGCTCTGGATAAGAGCGTCTGCTAAATTACTAAAATGTAAAATGTTAACCGCTCAATACAGAATAGCCGCATGTGCACAGTCCCTCAAATCGTTTGGAGAAAATATCCTTTCTGTTTTATTCAGCTTTGTTCAATTGGATTCTTCATACTATAAAATAATATAAAATAATGCCATGGAATTCTAAGCAAATCTTGTCTGCTGAAAACTAGTGTAGCCCACAGCCATTTGGCATAGCCAGATCAGGACCTAACAGAAGGACAACTCCGAGTATGCTATTCTGTTCTTCTGAAATAGACTACATTTTCTTCATACCATGTTTCTTTAGACCTGTCTAAAATAAATAATGGATTTATTGTGGAGATGTAGGCTATATTACATGGATTTATTATACTTTTTTAAATGTAGATGTTCCAAAGGTCTGCATTAGTGGCTTGTAGGCTATGTGTGGAAACCAGGAGATGCTACGTTTTACGTTTTAGTCATTTAGCAGACGCTCTTATCCAGAGCGACTTACAGTTAGTGAGTGCATACATTTTTCATACTGATGCGCAACAAATGCCAATATCGGTCAAATGACTTGAATGAGATTTGTGCCACAAATGCCAAAATGCTACCATGTGACAACAGTGCAAGGGAAACCAAACCAAAGCATGTTGTTGTCATACCTTGTCCATAGACTGGCCTACAGGGTAAGGAAACCAATGTCATTGTAATTTGGGTGAACTAACTGGCCAAGAAATACACCCATGCTAATGTAAAGCTTATGGGAGGGTCAAAATTCCAGTCGGGATCAGAACAAATGAATTTACAGCCAGAATTCCAGACTCCTAAAAGATGTTGAGCAGATCGTGGTCTTGGGGAAGAATAGCAACACACACACACACACACACACACACACAGAGATCCGCTCAACTGAGTCTCCTACACAGACAGTAACAACTGGCTCTGCTCGATAGCACATTTTCACCCTTCATACAATATAGACATGTGTTTAGATATATTTATATTCAGAGAGATGTATCCCGTTCTCAGTTTATTGTCGAGTCATTTAGTTTGTTCCTAAAACCGACAATTTTGGTAACACAGAAGGAATCTCTGCAGCACTTAGACAGAAAACGACAGGAACCACAGATAAAAATATCTTCATTATTATATCTGGGTCAACAGAGGAATCATGACACTAACAGCTGTTGGAAATAGTAGAGGACGAGTGCAGGAAAAGACAGCTTTAGAGCAGCACAACAAAGCACTAAATACAAAAACATTACGATTCATGACTAATATACTCAGGGAGGGCGGGGTGTCATAAAATCAAAACGTATAAAATGGCATGGCACTTAATGGATGCATCTACACTGCATATTGCTGCAAACTACTCACTAGGCTAAATATACAGATACAGGGACAGGGCTGGGGAGAGAGAGGTGGGACAGGAGACGTGTTAGTTGGATATACAGATACAGGGACAGGGCTGGGGAGAGAGAGGTGGGACAGGAGACGTGTTAGTTGGATATACAGATACAGGGACAGGGCTGGGGAGAGAGAGGTGGGACAGGAGACGTGTTAGTTGGATATACAGATACAGGGACAGGGCTGGGGAGAGAGAGGTGGGACAGGAGACGTGTTAGTTGGATATACAGATACAGGGACAGGGCTGGGGAGAGAGAGGTGGGACAGGAGACGTGTTAGTTGGATATACAGATACAGGGACAGGGCTGGGGAGAGAGAGGTGGGACAGGAGACGTGTTAGTTGGATATACAGATACAGGGACAGGGCTGGGGAGAGAGAGGTGGGACAGGAGAACAGAAGAGCAACACACACACTACTACGCCAGCATCAAGAGAGGGAGGGTAGCAGTTACCCCTAAGCCAATGACACATGGTCAGATACTTTTTCTATCCTCCTAATACATAAGGATTGAGGGTATGGTGCGTGATCTGATCCTAGATCTGTGATTATGGGCAAGTGGGACAGTCGTCCACTAATTCAGTGCCATGAGGAATAGATGGGGTAGAGGAATAGTAGACTACTATGGTAATGTAACTTGTGGCTTTAATTTGAGCAGAGCCCTATGTGGCTCTGCTCAGTAGGACTACATGAAGAAACTACATGTCATGGGGGTGGAATGTAGTTTTTGTTTAAAAGAGGGAAAATACCCTTTAGATGCAGATGGTATTTTTTGTACTCCACAGGACGTTTGCATTATTTATACATACATGCGTTTAATCATTTCATAATTTTCAATACTTTTGAACGCATGGTCCTGTTTTTTGTTTTGTTTTCATTTGTCAGCCCATTGGAAAAAAATACCGAAAAAACAGAAGCGATGGGAAGGTAGCGATCCCATGTTGTTGTCGTTCGCTCCCTCCCTTGTTCCAGCCTCCTCCCTGTTGCGCCCCTCTTTCCACCCGATCGCGAGGGGGCAGTTAACAGCGCGTCTCGTAGATGCCGCTGCGACCGATGTAGCGCACCCATTTGATGACGTCGTGGTCACTGTAGTTCAGCTTGGGCTCGAACACCTTCAGGTAGCGCACCTGATGCTACATTTGTTTGTTAATTAATGGCCAATCACCGTGAGACTGACAGTTATTTGCTTGACAATCACCGGCTGACGAAATTTCGTGACCGCCACAGCCCTACGAGTTCCCCAAGATATTGATTGTTAAGTCCAATGTCACTTAGATCATTAAGTCCAATGGTAAGCTAAAGATTATCTTTGTTTTGTGGGAACTCACCCCTGATCGGTCGCAAGGGCCCCCAACCAAAACTGGTGTAGGGCCCCCAAAAGCAAGGGTCGGCCCTGGATATGTTACTTGGAACTGACCTGTAGAGTATGGTGTGCTATTAACACAGTGGGGTTGTTCCATGTCATTTTAGCAAGCCATGACACCCACCATCACAGATTGTTTTGAAATCGTTTCTGTAGTTCCTCTGAACAGAGGAAAAAAACCATCAAATTCATTGGGAATACATTACATAGGATGAAGAAACAATACTCTGAGCCGCAGCTCCATACTACTTGTCAGACACAGAAAACAGATACTATATACTTGTTGGGGTGGGATTGACATGGGGGGTCCGTGGGTGACTGACCATTCCTATGGATTCCTCATGTCTTACTTATTGTTAGAAAAAAGTTTTGTCCAAATCAGATGTTAGGTACTATATTTATTGAATATTATATGAATCCTAGAAATTATAATGGCCAATTTGGATGCAATCAATTAGCTTAATTTCTCAGAGATCTAATTATATTTCAACAAAATAATGCTGCAGGAATACTAATCTAATCTGTTTCTAACAACAGAAACGATTCCATCCGGCCGCTACCGGGAGACCCACGAGGCGGCGCACAATTGGCCCAGCGTTGTCCGAGTTAGGGGAGGGTTTAGCTGGCTGGGATGTCCTTGTCCCATCACGCTCTAGTGACTCCAATGGCGGTCCGGGCGCATGCACGCTGATACGGTCGCCAGTTGTACGGTGTTTCCTCCGACACATTGGTGTGGCTGGCTTCCGGGTTAAGCGAGCAGTGTGTCAAGAAGCAGTGCGGCTTGGCAGGGTCGTGTTTCGGAGGACGCATGGCTTTCGATCTTCGCCTCTCCCGAGTCTGTATGGTAGTTGCAGCGATGGGACAAGACTGTAACTACCAATTGGATATCACGAAATTGGGGAGAAAAAGGGGTAAAAAATAAATAAATAAGAATTGATTCCAGAACAATCTGAGATGGTGGGTATCGAAATCCTTTTTGAGGTGGAACGACCAATGAAAAAATGTGCGTTTAGGACTGTGTATACAATACTGTAGCTAGCTAGTAACTTTTCAAAGGGATTACTGTGTGGAAGCCCAAGTTTCCTCCCTTTTTGTCTGTGTGGTTGAACAGCTCCTGTTGCAGTGTTTCTGATGGATTAATGGAGCTGCGCAAGTTGTTGGCGATTTTTGGCCTAACATTAACATCAAGATGTGTTATGCGTGGTTATGTCATTGCACGTAGAGTATTAGCCTTCCTTTGCATCTCCCTCGTCTCTAAGTACCAACGCTCTCCATCTCCAGGCTGACACAGAGAAGGCCCGGCACCCTGGAACTAGTACTAGATCCAGTAGCCATCATCGCCGGGTCTGTATGCTTTATCTCACATCTCTTTCTCACCAATCTCTTTCTCACCTTTATCTTATTTCCTGACTTGTCTTGTCGTCCTATTTGTCTGTCCCCATGTTTCTCTGCAACAGGATGACGATGTCATGTCGGTCCGTAGCACTGGAAGCTACAGGGTGTGTACATTACATAATCTCATTGACAGTGTCATGTCATTATTTTAGTCTGACTATTAATATGGAGGTAGAATTCTATTGGAAAGCCACACTGATGTGTGAAACCATTGGCTTGTGTGTCTAATTGTTAGAATATGTAAAAAAATTGGAATACATTAATGTTCCTTGAGTAATTCTGTTGTGATGTGTGTGTGTGTATGTTCTGGTTTTGAAGTCAACCTTTTCATTGCGAGACCTGGGCAGCTCATCTCATAAAAGCCTGGCCAGCACCTCTCGTCGAAGAGACCTGGTGGTGCGTCTGTGTCGTGTGTGTGCATGTGTGTGTTTCCGGGTAAAGGTGGGATGGATGGCATGACCGATTTGTGCAGAAGGGAAATGGGGATGGGTTTGCTGCTGTCTAAAAGACCAGTGTTGAATTCACAGCTGGGCGACACAGGAAGATAGCTGGGCTATATTAGGCAGGGCTATATTCTATGTTGTCATGGGCTAGGCTAACATCCTTGTGGCTTGTAATGACATTCAAACAGCTGAGATGGTTACATTAAGACTAAAGTCTAAAGACAAATTACTAGGCTACCTCAAATGACTCTGCATGATAGTGTTTAATAAACAATTCGATGTCCATTACTAATGTATTTTCCTAACGAAAAAGACATTCAGCTTATCATTTAACCTCACAGTTTTGCAGTGTCATGCACCAACTGTCAAAATGTAGCTATGACTTGGTGTGGTGTGCCGTTCGTTCTCACAACTTTTTAGTAATCTGCAGTGTGAACACACTCACAGCACGTCTGTCTGTCGCTCCTAAGAGCAGGGGTCTCAAACTAATTTTTCCTGCGGGGCCATATTCGGTCTTCCCCCGAGGGCTGTATTTATTAAGACAACCGGCCACATTAAATCGGCTCATGGGCAGCATCTGGCCCGCGGGCCGCCAGTTTGAGATCTGTGACTTCGAGCCGCCAGTTTGAGGTCCTTATTGGCTGTTTGATCTTGTGATGATCATATTTCACATGAACCTTGTTCTCTCCCCAGTCTGACGGCCTGTCCAATAGCTCGGCTCTGAAGAGTAGCTCCTCTGTGAAGGGTAGCTCCTCTCTGAAGAGCTCCCGCTCCACTGTATGTACTCGTCTGCTGCTGAGCATGTGTGGATTGATTCACAGTAAAAGTGACTTTCGTCTGTCTTTTGTTATACACTGAACAAAAATATAAACGCAACAATTTCAAAGAGTTACAGTTCATATAAGGAAATCAGTCAATTGAAATAAATTCATTAGGCCCTAATCTATGGAGTTTACCTGACTAGGAATACAGATATGCGTCTGTTGGACGCAGATACCTTAATCAAATTGCCATAGATAAAATGCAATTGTGTTCGTTGTCTGTAGTTTATGCCTGCCCATACCATAACCCCACCGCCACCATGGGGAACTCTGTTCACAACGTTGACATCAGCAAACAGCTCGTCCACATGATGCCATACACACTGTCTGCCATCTGCCCGGTACAGTTGAAACCGGGTTTCATCCGGGAAGAGCACACTTCTCCAGCGTGCCAGTGGCCATCGAAGGTGAGCATTTGCCCACTGAAGTCGGTTACGACACCGAACTGCAGTCAGGTCAAGACCCTGGTGAGGGCGACGAGCACGTAGATGAGCTTCCCTGAGACGGTTTCCAACAATTTGTTCAGAAATTCTACGGTTGTGCAAACCCACAGTATCATCAGCTGTCTGGGTGGCTGGTTTCAGATGATCCCGCAGGTGTAGAAGCCGGATGTGAAGGTCCTGGGCTGGTGTGGTTACACGTGGTCTGTGGTTGTGAGGCCGGTTGGACGTACTGCCAAATTCTCTAAAACAACATTGGAGGCGGATTATGGTAGAGAAATTAACGTTACATTCTCTGGCAACAGCTCTGATGGACATTCCTGCAGTCAGCATGCCAATTGCACGCTCCCTCAACTTGAGACATCTGTGGCATTGTGTTGTGTGATAAAACTGCAAATGTTAGTGGCCTTTTATTGTCCCCAGCACAAGGTGCACCTTTGTAATGATCATGCTGTTTAATCAGCTTCTTGATATGCCACACCTGTCAGGTGGATGTATTATCTTGTCAAAGGAAAAATGCTCACTAACAGGGATGTAAACTAATTTGTGCACAACATTTACGAGAAATAAGCTTTTTGTGCGTATGGAACACTTCTGGGATCTTTTATTTCAGCTCATGAAACATGGGAAGAACATGGGACATGTTGCGTTTATATTTTTGTTCAGTATAGTTCATGTGTTCAGTTCATTTAGTTTTCCTCTTTTGTAAACTTTAATGTCTTTACACACTGATTAATATGTGGGAGCCTGTGTGAGAGGTTTTGCATAGTGAGTCGAATGTGTGAGTGGGATATGAAGAGCTTGATTTAATCGCTTTAATTGCATGCTTTACCAGAAAGGGTGCTTTTTACACCCAAATGTATTTGTACACTATACTGCCTGACTCCAAATCTTCACCATCATTAGCTAGGTTTCCATCCAATTGGCGACAGATGTAACTGTATAACTGATCAAATTATGCAAGCATTGTCATTTTGAATTCCGTAAAGTGAGTGTGGAAGAGGTTAAAAATATTATTGATCAACAATGACAAGCCAGCGGGGTCTGACAACTTCGATGGAAAAATACTGAGGATAATAGCGGACAATATTGCCACTCTTATTTGCCGTATCTTATTGGCCTGGAGGGAAGCGAAAGTAATTCCGCTACCCAAGAATAGTAAAGCCCCCTTTGCTGGCTCAAATAGCCGAACAATCAGCCTGTTACCAACCCTTAGTAAACTTTTGAAAAAAATTGTTATACCAGATACCATTCTATTTTACTGTAAACTAATTGACAGACTTTCAGCACGGTTATAGGGAAGGACATTCAACAAGCACGGCACTTACACAAATGACTGATGATTGGCTGAGAGAAAATGATGATAAAAAGATTGTGGGAGCTGTTTTGTTAGACTTAATTGTGGCTTTTGACATTATCGACCATAGTCTGCTGCTGGAAAAACGTATGCGTTAGGGCTTTACACCCCCTGCTATATAATGGATAAAGAGTTACCTGTCTAACAGAACACAGAGGGTGTTCTTTAATGGAAGCCTCTCCAACATAATCCAGGTAGAATCAGGAATTCCCCAGGGCAGCTGTCTAGGCCCCTTACTTTTTTCAATCTTGACTAATAACATGCTACTGGCCTTGATAAAGCCAGTGTGTCTATGTATGCGGATGACTCAACACTATACATGTCAGCTACTACAGTGAGTGAAATCACTGCAACACTTAACAAAGAGCTGCAGTTAGTTTCAGAATGGGTGGCAAGGCATAAGTTAGTCCTAAATAATTCAAAAACTAAAAGCATTGTATTTGGGACAAATCATTCACTAAACCCTAAACCTCAACTAAATATTGTCATAAATAATGTGGAAATTGAGCAAGTTGAGGTGACTAAACTGCTGGGAGTAACCCTGGATTGTAAACTGTCATGGTCAAAACATGTTGATACAACAGTAGCTAAGATGGGGAGAAGTCTGTCCATAATAAAGCGCTGCTCTGCCTTTTTAACAACACTATCAACAAGGCAGGTCCTACAGGTTCTAGTTTTGTCACACCTGGACTACTTTTCAGTCGTGTGGTCAGGTGCCACAAAGAGGGACCTCGGAAAATTACAATTGGCTCAGAACAGGGAAGCACAGCTGGCCCTTAAATGTACACGGAGAGCTAACATTAATAATATGCAAGAAAATCTCTCATGGCTCAAAGTGGAGGAGAGATTGACTTCTTCACTACTTGTTTTTGTAAGAAGTGTTGACATGCTGAATGAACCGAGGTGTCTGTTTTTAAGCTACTAGCACACAGCTCGGACACCCATGTATACCCCACAAGACATGCCACCAAAGGTCTCTTCACAATCCCCAAGTCAAGAACAGACTATGTGAGGCACACAGTACTGCATAGAGCCATTGCTACATGGAACTCTATTCCACATCAGGTAACTGATGCAAGCAGTATAATCAGATTTAAAAACAGATAAAAATACACCTTATGGAACAGCAGGGACTATGATAAGACACATATGTACACATGGATTTTGTATTGTACAGTGCATTTGGAAAGTATTCAGACCCCTAGACTTTTTCCACATTTTCTTACGTTACAGCCTTATTCTAAAAATGTTCCTCATTAATCTACACACAATACCCCATAATGACAAAGCGAAAACAGGTTTTTAGATTTTTTTTGTGCATATTTATTACGTAAATAAGGTATTTTCTGTTTTATATTTGTAAGTATTCAGACCCTTTGCTATGAGACTCAAAATTGAGCTCTGGTGCATCCTGTTTCCATTGATCATCCTTGATGTTTCTACAACTTGATTGGAGTCCACCTTGATTGGACATGATTTGGAAAGGCACACACCTGTCTATATAAGGTCCCACAGTTGACAGTGCATGTCAAAGCAAAAACCAAGCCATGATGTCAAAGGAATTGTCCACAGAGCTCCGAGACAGGATTGTGTCGAGGCACAGATCTGGGGAAGGGTACCAAACATTTTCTGCAGCATTGAAGGTCTCCAAGAACACAGTGGCCTCCATCATTCTTAAATGGAAGAAGTTTGGAACCACCAAGACTCTTCCTAGAGCTGACTGCCCGGCCAAACTGAGCAATCGGGGGAGAAGGGCCTTGGTCACGGAGGTGACTAAGAACCCGATGGTCAAGCTTGTAGCGTCATACCCAAGAAGACTCGAGGCTGTAATCGCTGCCAAAGGTGCTTCAACAAAGTACTGAGTAAAGGGTCTCAATACTTATGTAAATGTGCTATTTTATTTTTTGTAAACATTTCTAAAAACCTGTTTTTGCTTTGTCATTATGGGGTATTATTTGTAGATTGATGAGGGGGGGAAAACAATTTTAATCAATTTTAGAATAAGTCTGTAACGTAACAAAAGTTAAGGGATCTGAATTCTTTCCGAATGCACTGTAGATATGTGATAGAGTAGTGGCCTGAGTGAACACACTTAATGTGTTGTGAAAAGTGTTATGAAATGTAATATCATGTAATATTTTAAATTGTATACAACTGTCTTAATGTTACTGGACCCCAGGAAGAGTAGCTTCTGCCGTTGCAGCAGCTAATGGGGATCCTTAATAAATACAAATGCTAATATTCTAAAATCTGCATGAAGAAAATATGCAACATTTCCAAAGAGTGGTGTTTCCACCAAACATAGATTTTTATATGCAAAAAAAGTGTGCGTGATTAATTTTACAGACAAAACTATTCTACGATGTCGAACAAACAAATGATCTGTCGGCATTTATCAAATTGTACCGAAACATCCTGTTTCCATCACAGCTGTCGTGATTTTATTTTATACGGTAGGACTTTACTTGCATAAAACTGTGGATGGAAACGTAGTTAGTGACTGATTTCAACTAAAATAACTTGCATAAATCATGTAGTGTGCGCACATCTTACAGAATATTTGACCTTTTTATAAACTAAATTCTATGTCATTTAGGCCTTTATGACAGGAGACATCTGAATCTTTTTTAATACTACACAAATAACCGAAATGAGTGGCAACTCTGACTGACCCTGTCAAACAGATAAATACAAATGGCCTGAGCCCGGTTTCCCAGAAGCATCTTTGGATAAGTTCATTGTTAGAACCATTGGATCGTTATGGTTCTAAGATAACCGGGCGCTGGTGTTGAAAGAAGGGAGAAACACAGATTGTACAATATTAGGAGGAAATGTATAAATATTATAGGCTACAGTAGGCTACTACATCAACTTTCCAGTGGCACTGACTCACCCAATGAAGATAGATAGCATGAATATGTGTAGCCTAGGCTTCTCACTACCAGTGATGGTCTCAAGATAGGCCTGAGCTACTTTGAAAAACAGTGCTGTTTGTTGTTGAGAAAAACATTTCTTTGCTTGTACTGACAAATTAGTCTTCTCTTTTCAGCGTTAGGCATTTGCTTACGAAACGTATTTCCCGCAAATTGTATTTTGAAATTTGTAAAGAGAAATAGAATCCATAGAACAAAAGTGCCCAATCAAGTCAGGACTGAAAGCCATTTTGAGCATACCCATGAGTTTACGACTCAAATTACCAAAACGCTTCCCAGCTAGCACATTTGGTTCCTTGGAAGTTGTGGGAACGTAAGTGTTTGGTGAGAACGTAAGCCATACATTTCCTGACCGTTAAAACTTTCTGAGAACGGAAGTAAAAATTACGCCTGTTTTGGGAATGTTAATTTTGCAGGGAGGTTCTGAGAATGCTTTTCTGTGATTCCCTGAAAGTTTCCCCGGGAGGTTTTATTAATGTTCTGAGAACAGAAATGATAGGTTATTAAATAACATTCTGATAACATTGCTAGCTTAGGTTAACTGTTTTGAATTCCAAACACAGCTAGGACACATGGAAATTAATTTGCTTGAATCATGACACACATGAAGATCATATGTTCGAACCTATGATCTTCTACTCCCTATCCATGGAATTAGTCCAATGCGCCACCAGGATGGAGCTAGCATGCCATGTTTTTTTTTTTAAACTCATACAAAGCTGTTAATTTTAATCTATTCAAACAGATCCTTTTTCAAAGGAAACAAGCACTTATTAAAATAAGGTGTGGCCAGTTAGTGGGTGCAGCCAACACACCTGAACACACTTAACAAGGTAGAGGATAGAGAGTTGATGTTGCGAACAGAATGTATGTTTTTAAACAACATTCTTAGAATGTTCTTTGAACGTTACTAATGTTTTCTTGTGTTTTTTTATGGAACGTTTTCTTAATGTTCTGAGAACAGGACTTTAAATTGAACCATGAGGAAGCCTGCAGAAAACGTTATGCTGAAGTACTGAACTCCCATAGAAGAACGTTGTTTCTTAACGTTCTCTGAACAATTTGTGAACATTACTTTAAATAGAACCATGAGGAAACCTTATGGGAAGGTTGTATGCAAAATAACGATAGGAAAACCACACTCTCACCAAGCTCTAAGAAACACATGGTTCTCAGAACATTATGTGCTAGCTGGGTACTATGGATTATATTTCTATGGCCGCAAAGCAACAAGCTGTTCAATATTTGGCGCGTGTGCTGCCCAAATTCAGTCAGTGTTCAGACAGGAGTAATTATATAATTTTGGAAACATTATTTCAATTTATCAGGGGGTGCTGCAGGCCCTTCAGCACCCCTACTTCCCGCGGCTATGGGTCTTGGGTCACTGTGACCCTAAGTAAGATTTGCTTTGGTAGCGTGAGTTAACCAACTTCTAGTGTCTCCCGCATTCATGTCCCCTCTTCCCTGCCAGAGCTCTGTGTACAACGACCTGCATAAGAAGGCTCCCGTGTCCAGCAGCTCCAGGAAGGGCCTGCTGGTCAGTGTGTGTTTGTGTGTGTGTTCTCTCCTAGTGTGGGCCACTCTGGGCTCCTTGATCCAACTAACTGGAAGCAGTGTGGTGGCCAATGTAATTGAGCAGATCTATCTAGGAAGATTTTTGTCTCATTGTGCATGCTTGATGTATTACATAATTGTTCCATTATAGACATAAATCGTGCCTGTGATACTTCCCATTTTTGATAGTGGAACATTCTGAAATAAAGGTGAAAAGGCATGTCACAGCTTTGGCATGTTATTTTGCTGTATTAATTTCCTCCTGTCTCTCTCTGTTTATGGTCATATCATACTATTCCACTCATCCTCTCCTCCTCCAGACTGGCTTGTACCACGATCAGAGGAACTACAGCAGCCTAAAGAACCCCACCAAACCTCCTCCTCCCACTACTTCCACCTATCAGCCTCGGGTTTGTCCTCCTCAGTCCTGGTCTATTTCTAGCCCTTCCCTGTCTAGATTAAGTGGTGAAAGCAAGTTAGCTGAACTGAAACTACTTAAAGAAGAACTGAGTTTTTATCTACTCAAGTTTATGGGACGTATAAACGCCAGTTGAGATGGCCCATTGTGAATGGTTAACTACACACAGAGGGTTTTTATAGTGTCGGTGTGTGTTTGCACTCAAAGTTTTACAGTACTTAGTCATTCTTTGATATGAAGTTGCTGTTGGACTTCAGTGCCGTACATGCAACACCTCATCCATTTTCAGTTGACGGGGACAGTGCACCTCACTCCTATGTAGTCGTCCTCTCATCACATCACAGTGCTCTATTCTCAGGGCCCCAGGGACAGGAAAATGGCGTTTGTTTCTCCTCACACTATCTGAGGACGTTTTCCTACCAACCCCCCCACCCCTGCTCTCTGTGGCTGTCCTCTAACTGTCCCACACCCCCTCTCCTTTACCTCACCCCCTCTCCTTTACCTCACCCCCTCTCCTTTACCTCTCCCCTCCTCACAGGCCCCATCTGTGGCCTCCACCGCTGGCTCTGGTTCGGGGCTGACGCGCAGCTACAGCCTGGTCAGTGTCGCACTCATGCCTTCATATCACCTTCAGAGACCAGACCCCAGTCCTCTCTGATACATCTGATAGCCATGGCCAGGGTTCTCCCTAGGTCATTTATATTTAGGTTCAATGGTCACCGTGGGCACTTAGTGGGGCCGAGGTTATGCGGTCTGGTAGGCTATGTTTGATAAGAAATGGCTTTTTGTCAGATCAGTGCTTTCTACAAAGAATAACTACAGCAATGGTTGATGCAGGAAATATCCCATTGTTTATATTTAGTTAATATTGAGAAAGGCATGCTACTCAGCCTGTGAGATTTTCTGACAGGAAATATCCCATTGTTTATATTTAGTTAATATTGAGAAAGGCATGCTGATTTTCTGACAGGTCATTGCTCCCTCTTGTTCTTTGCTGAGTTCTGGATGCTCTCCCTTGTGCCTTCAGGCTTCTATAAATGACGACGGTCTGTATGGCTCATACACTGGTTCTCAATTGCATACTGTAAGTGTTCTGTGTGTCTATAATTGAATAGTGTTAATGATGTCACCAGGGCCAGCAGCACACTGGCCTGTCTGTGTCCCCACCATGTCAATGCTGTTTGTGCCCCCCCCCCCCCCCCCAACTACAGCCCTCTGAGTACAGCTGGTACTCCAGCTCCACCCGGAGCAGCCCTGTGGTGAGCCCCCCCCATTCAGTCACACTGCCTGCATGGTGTCCACTAACCTAGTCTGGCGTTACCATACTCCCAAGTCTGAAACTGAGACTATCCACCAACTTCAACCCACACACTGCCATTACTAACAGGCTACCTACCTACACCCTCCTCCCTAGTCATCCTCACGTCACGCCTAGGGATACATAAATATATGTTTTGTCGTCACACACTGGACAGGTGCAGTGAAATGTGGTGTTTTACAGTCAGCCATAGTAGTACGGCGCCCCTGGGGCAAATTAGGGTTAAGTGCCTTGCACATTTAATATATAGCAGTGACTGGATAGACAATGAATTGCCAAAGTGTATAGTATCTTACACTTAATTGCGTTTTGATGTGCCATGTGTTGCACGCAGTGTTGTGTAGGTCAAGACGAGGTAGAGTACTAGGACTATTCTCTCCTCAATTTGTTTGTTATACTCCATATTATTTGATCAGATCAGCCTAATTACATGACCTGATGTACCTAAAAGATTGGGGTCTTTTGTATAATCCAGATACAGAATGCCAGTAGGCTTTATTAGTGTGTGAAGGTCATCACAGCTCGAAAGCTTCAATAGCAAATGAAAACGCTGAAATTGCATCTGATTTGAAGTGTGTGGAGAAAGGAGACTCCTTTTCACTATTAGTGAGTGTGTGCCAAGTGCATGTGGATACAGTACTCTGATAAGGGGGGGATCCTGACTTCGTGCTCCTCATAGAACTCATCTGATGACGATACTGCCAGCACCGTGTCCCAGGAGCGCTACAGTCGCGGCAGGAGAGACAGCGTGGTGAGACCCTGGGGTTGGGTTAGGCTCTGGAGTGGGGATTTAATAGTAACAGCCACTGTTGTTTCCAGGGTTTATATATGGGTTATTTATTATGGGGTAGATAAACAACCTTGGATGTCTCCCTTTTTTGGTGACCTTTTTGGGTGTGCCTTGCTGCTATGTTGTTAGTGTGCAGCACTGTTATATGCAGGCTTAATTCTATCCTTTTCAATTTCCGTTGAAAAATGGACAAAGTATCTATTCTGTTCTTTTATTTATCCTATAGGCCTATGCCCTATGGCTCTCTCTTTTTAGACTTTCCATGTTTTCCTCTGACCTCATTTCCTTCCTCTCCCTCCTTCACTATCTCTATCATCTATCTGTCTCTGATCCCCCACCCTGTATCTGCTCAATAGTCATCTGATTTCTCTGACATCAGTGAGTCGGCCGCTGACTATTTCAGCCGCTCCAACCGCAGGGGCAGCATTGTGTCTGACCTGGATGATCTGTGTATCCCAGACGACTTGGACGTTGTAAGTTACCCGCCATCGTCACACTGGCGTGCGATGGAATGCACTGAATTGCTGTTGTGGACACGTAACGCACAGTGTTGGGACGATTTCTCACAGCCTGTAATTTCATACTGATGCCCAGTTATGTGCTTGCTGTATAGCCAACTCCTATAGTCATTGTCAATGTGTTGGCTATACAGCACATAATATATCTGGGACTAGGCTAGTTATGAATAGTATTATGGATAGGTTTGTCTTCACAGCATGTGTTTGCTACAAATAAAGACAATTTTAATAAAGTTCTCTGTTCTGAGTAACTTGTGTGTCTGGTGTGATCTATGAACATGCAGCAGTCCCTAACTCATACCCCATCTACTAACTCTGATTTGCAGGCCATGATCAGGTTTGGCATCAAGCATGTGCCACTTTGGATACGAAATCAGTTCATGCATGCAGATGCCGTTGGCATGTCTGTTTTAATGATTGTGTTTCCTTATTTATTTTCAGCTGGATGAAAAATGTGATAAGACCTTCGTAGACTACAGCCGAGTGAGTACAACGAGCAGGAGAGATATCCAGTGTTCATGTCTTCAGGCCGTGTTATTTGTATCAATGATGACCATGACCAATGTAGGCCTAAATCATTAACCTCTTAAGGATCGGACCCTTTTTTTAAAATTTTCGCCTAAAATGACATACTCAAATCTAACTGCCTGTAGCTCTGGACCTGAAGGAAGGATATGCATATTCTTGATACCATTTGAAAGGAAACACTTTGAAGTTTGTGGAAATATGAAATTGATGTAGGAAACTATAACACATTTGATCTTTGAAATGCAAGAGAAAGGCCACAATATAATATTGCAGTTTAGGTGTAGCAGTGTGTGCAACGTTTCAGATTGATCCAGTGAAGCATTGCAATACTGGACTATTTTGTATCAAGTCTGCCCTAATGTGCCGAATTGGTCAATTGATACATTTTCAAGTACATAACTATAGAGAACATACAAAAATGATATGGTAATACAAAATGTAAGTTTACACACTGCCAGGAATGTCATACATGATGGATCATTAGCTTATACACTAACTTTCACACATCTAGATGGCGGGGTGGGTGTGGAGCCAGAGACAGCAGGGGTTCAAACTGTAGAACCCAGTTCCTACATTTGAATATAAAGATTGATTTTATCAAACAAAACTATGCTACATTTTATCTCTGGGACCCTTAGGATGACAAATCAGAGCAAGATTACTGAATGTAAGTACATTATTTACCTTCAGAGGTGAATGTATCAAACCAGTTGCTGTGATAAGTTTTTTGTTGTTGTGCACTCTCCTCAAACAATAGCACGGTATTTTTTCACTGTAATAGCTACTGTAAATTGGACAGTGCCGTTAGATTAACAAGAATGTAAGCTTTCTGCCAATATAAGACATGTCTATGTCCTGGAAAGTTTGCTGTTACTTACAACAGTCATGCTAATCACATTAGCGCACGTTAGCTCAACCGTCCCGTCTACGGGACACCAATCCCGTTGAGGTTCAATACGTTTCCAATCCATATTTCTACCTGCATTCATCACCACGCTGTTCAGATCCATATTGTTAGTTCCCTCATATCCTCCCCCTAAAGCTGTGGTAATGCCGGATGATATATCATCTTAGTGGGGCTGGTTGGAACTGATTGGGAGGATAAGTTAAGCCGGGGCCCAGTAGTGTCGGTGTTGAATGACAGTCCTGGGGTGTGTCTGTTGTTATGTTCTGGGTTGACTTGAGCTCTAACTAAGGTGCTTTGTGTTGTGTTGTTTTCTAGCCATCCTCGCGCTGTACCACCCCCGGCCTCTCCCCGGCCACCCTGGCCTCCCTGGGGGGGACATCCTCGAGACGAGGCAGTGCAGACACAGGCAGCATTGTCGACCCTGATACCAGTCTGAGTGAATTGAGGGTAAGGCACACACAAACACCACCACCAGTTGCATAAAAACCATTACAAGGTCTAATTACAACCTGTCATTACAAAGTTAGATAAGTGTTGTGTGTCAGTTATTCAAATGTCAATCGATCTGAAATATAAGAAAAGTTACTTTTTACAGTGAACCATTTGTGTAGTAGTTTACTATTTTCCTCACTACTGTTTTATTTGAGTTCAGAGAATATCTGAAACATCCACACCTCCCTGCTCTCAACGTCTTATGTTACATGTTGACTCCATGTATGCACGGGAAGGCTGGATGTGACATGTTTCTTAAACTTCCTATAAAGCTGTCCTTGTGTATGTCTGGGCCTACCATTGGGTAAATTACTGTCTTGAGATGCCAACAGCACGGGTGCTCTGTCTTTAAATCTGTCCATCTGTCCTTAATTCTCCCTGGTTTCCCCCGATTCACCCCAACCAACCAACCCTTCCTCCCATCTGCTCTACAGGATATCTATGATCTAAAGGACCAGATTCAGGATGTAGAGGGGCGGTACATGCAGGGGCTTAAAGAGCTGAAGGTAGAGGGGCCTGAGCTCGCAGCATGCCTTCTCTTGTCCTGTTGGAGCCTTCTGGCATCACTAACCCCACTGTACCTACGTCTCCCCCTCCCTCACCCCCTCTAGGGCTCCACTGACTGTAACCACTAACTGTAACACCAAAAACACTCACATTTCTATTGTGGCTCCCTGATGGCATGTTCCCTGCATCACCTTTCTTGCTCAGTTTGAAACTCACTGGTAATGGCAAGGATTGAAAGCCTTGCTTGAACCCTAGCAGTGCTTGGGGGGGTAAGAGCAAGACTAAGAATTGTCTTGTCTTGTTGCAATCTTCTGTCTGTTGGATGGGTTTCAGGGTATGTAGTCCTACCCAGAAAACGACAAGTTTTCATTCACACAGTGCTGAATGGCATCCTGGCTTCTTTTCTGTAGCCACCCTAAAAAGTTCACTTTTCTCTTGAGTCTTAGGAAGTATATTTGTGTTAAAAAGGGTACTTTACTAACACACCTGATTCCTGGCATGTCCTACACTTTAGTAGAACTGAAACACAATAGCTGAACTTGATCATGTTTTGATATATTTTTGTTCTTTGGCCTCAAGTTCTTTTTTTCAGATGCTATTTCATCACTGCCATGAATCATTCCTCCGAATGAATCAATGCACCATGGATATCAAGTGTATCAGTTTTTATCACTTGTCCATCTCAGGTTTTGTCATTGATTACAATGTGAGACAATTCCAAGGTGGGGAGCATTGTGATGATGTTTCAACCCCCCAGATTCTTAAACACAATCAAACCTGAGATGGACAACCGATGGAACACTTGAGATAGAGCCTTTCCTCTGTTTTAGGTCTTAGTTAAGATATTACTACTGTACATAAATTGTATGTTTTTTGATATGAGTATTGTTCATTTAGAGTAAGAACTCTAGTCACTGTTAAATGCGTCATATTGAATTGAAGTCATTTGAAGGTGAGACTGAAAAATAGAGGTTACATTTAATTGAACTGCATCCTACCCAACATCTATAGCAGTGTCTTTCTGTCGCCAGTGTGTTTCGAACATCCCGAACATGGTTTCCTAGTTGAGATACGAAATGAATGTAAGAGTAAATGTAGTGTTCTATTATCAGTGTGGTCGTGCAGCTGTATCTCCCATAATTTTTTTAATAATAGTAATAATCTTTCTATTATAGTTCCCACCATGGTTCAGTGTGTAAACATCTGTGGGTGTGTCCCTGGTAGGAGTCGCTCTCGGAGGTGGAGGAGAAGTATAAAAAAGCCATGGTGTCGAACGCACAGCTGGACAACGACAAAGCCAACCTCATCTACAACGTGGACACACTCAAGGACGTCATCGAGGAGATGGAAGAGCAGATGGCCGAGATGCGTAGGGAAACTGAGGAAAAGTCTAAGGTGAAGTGTTAAACACACACAGCATCGTAGATCACCTTTAGCATCTACTGTTAACACATGCAGACTCAGACCGAGGCGAGTATATGCAAATTGCAGCAAAATCTCCAACCACACTATCAACTTGTCCAAACATACAGTTGAAGTTGGAAGTTTACATACACTTAGGTTGGAGTCATTAAAACTTGTTTTTCAGCCACTCCACAAATGTCTTGTTAACAAACTATAGTTTTGGCAAGTCGGTTAGGACATCTACCTTTTGCATGACACAATGAGTTTTAACAACAATTGTTTACAGACAGATTATTTCACTTATAATTCACTGTATCACAATTCCAGTGGGTCAGAAGTTTACATACACTAAGTTGACTGTGCCTTTAAACAACTTGGAAAATTCCAGAAAATGATGTCATGGCTTTAGAAGCTTCTGATAGGCTAATTGACATCATTTGAGTCAATTGGAGGTGTACCGGTGGATGTATTTCAAGGCCTACCTTCAAACTCAGTGCCTCTTTGCTTGGAAACACCTTGGGAGCAATTTCCAAACGCCTGAACGTACCACATTCATCTGTACAAACAATAGTACGCAAGTATAAACACCATGGGACCACGCAGCCGTCATACCGCTCAGGAAGGAGACTCGTTTTGTCTCCTAGAGATGAACGTACTTTGGTGCAAAGTGCAAATCAATCCCAGAACAACAGCAAAGGTCCTTGTGAAGATGCTGGAGGAAACCGGTACAAAAGTATCTATAACCACAGTAAAACGAATCCTATATCGACATAACCTGAAAGGCTGCTCAGCAAGGAAGAAGCCACTGCTCCAAAACCGCCATAAAAAAGCCAGACTACGGTTTGCAACTGTACATGGGGACAAAGATCGTACTTTTTGGTGAAATGTCCTCTGGTCTGATGAAACAAAAATAGAACTGTTTGGCCATAATGACCATCGTTATGTTTGGAGGAAAAAGGGGGTTGCTTGCAAGCCGAAGAACACCATCCCAACCGTGAAGCACGGGGTGGCAGCATCATGCTGTGGGGTGCTTTGCTGCAGGAGGGACTGGTGCACTTCACAAAATAGATGGCATCATGAGAAAGGAAAATGATGTGGATATATTGAAGCAACATCTCAAGACATCAGTCAGGAAGTTAAAGCTTGGTCGCAAATGGGTCTTCCAAATGGACAATGACCCCAAGCATACTTCCAAAGTTGAGGCAAAATGGCTTAAGGACAACAAAGTCAAGGTATTGGAGTGGCCATCACAAAGCCCTGACCTCAATCCTATAGAAAATGTGTGGGCAGAACTGAAGAAGCGTGTGCGAGCAAGGAGACCTACAAACCTGACTCAGTTACACCAGCTCTGTCAGGAGGAATGGGCCAAAATTCTTATTGTGGGAAGCTTGTGGAAGGCTACCCGAAACGTTTGACCCAAGTTAAACAATTTAAAGGCAATGTTACCAAATACTAATTGAGTGTATGTAAACTTCTGACCCACTGGGAATGTGATGAAAGAAATAAAAGCTGAAATAAATCATTCTCTATAGTATTATTCAGACATTTCACATTCTTTCACCTAGTCATGATTGCGGTGAAATTGTGCATACGGCTTACTATCATCCTGGCAGTTCTAAACTTTGCTAGGCATGTCATTTCACCCATCTCTTCACATAGCCCAAGCACATGCACTATTTTCTTAACCACAACTGGATGGATCCATAAAGAATGCCTGTAGGAATAAATATCACTGAATGACAGAAATATTGTAATAAAGTAGGCTAATGCAATTGAAGGCAACAAATTGTTGCTTACTGAAACACCCAAAGTCATCCAATTGTTATAATACATTTGATTGAAGCAATAGCCTACTGCGTGTGGTCAACTATTTCAGCACCGTTTCGCACTTCTTTGCAACAGGCGTGAATGTCCGATTTTTTTTTTTCTTTTCACTGAATCTCCATTTGGATATTGGTTAGGATACGGAAATGTTAGCTAAGTTGAGAGCTGCTCATGATCATCTTGTCTAGTTGGCTCATTTATTAGCACTGATGAGACCATTTTGCCAGCATGTTATGTAGCTTAACAAGTGGATTATTTTGCTCTTCACTCGCAGTCACTTAGTAGCTTAGGCCTACTCCTGACCAAAAGCCTGTGACTTGTCTTAATCAATGTGATTGTGTTTCACTGGATCTCTCTGTATATTTGGTTAATTCTCTGGCTGGGCAAATCAGTGGAGGTGGTATAGCTCATTTATTCGTTTGCTCATCTATCACTGATCAGAAACATTTAGCATGCAATAATGGAGCCTAAATCAAGTGTAGGCCTGTTATTTTACTTGACCGCGTATAAGCAATGCCAAAAGCCGGAGGATGTTGTGACATATGAACACGAGACTCAAATGTATTTTTTGAAAATATAGATTGCTATTATTTTCTATCGGTATAATGATGAAGATACTCTCAATGTAAGACCCTACACCTGCTCATTAACAAAGCAGAGTGAGGATAGGAAAGAGATGAAACGTGGATCAAAAAAGCATGGGCTTGCCTTGGGCTCTGTTTCAAAATGTTATTTTTTTGATATGACAGCGGTTCAACACGTTGCCATGATATACGTATTCCTTGTATTTTATTCTATTCTATTTCATTATATTCTTAGCCTACTATAAAATATGTGTTGACTGTGATCAGGGTAGCCTAAGTGTGTCTTGTCTGTTTAATGAACAAAATTACTATTGATTTCATGTGCACTCCGAAGCTTTATAGGCTGCACAGACCAGTAACAGAGTTAAACAAAAAATATGCCATTCTATTCTTTTGAAAACACATTTTATTAGTCTTGTGTTTCTTAGGACCTGCTTAAAACAAATTAATAATGGATTTCTTTGTGAGATTTTAAACTTGTGTGATTAATGTTTTGCAGTTTGCCTTTTGTCATTGATTGTGTCTTACGACAGTCCTCTTTCTCTTTAATTCCAGGAATTAGAAAGACAAAAGCACACATGCACAGTCCTGCAGCACAAACAAGTGGAGTTAAAAGAGGGAATCCGCCAGAGAGATGAGCTCATAGAGGTATGTCTGCACTAAGAAAACAAACAGTTGGTGGCAATCTGTTCACACCTGTTCTAAACCACTTCCATCTCTACAGTTCATTCTCTACAGTCCTGTAGTCTGTGTACTGCAGTATCTTGATGAAGATCCAAAGTGTGAGACTATGCTTCTCTCTCTCATCCCAGTGTCTCCTGACATCTCTGTTTCATCGTTTTCTCTGTCTGCTCTGTCATGTTTCTTTGCCTCGTCTCTCTATACTGAAATGATCTCTACTCCAGATCGTTTTCTGGCCACCTGTCTTTTCTCTGGTCTTTTTCGGTCTCTTACCTTTTGTCGCGCTTACTCAATTTCTATTCAATGCTATTGTCGTTTATCTCCATTTCTTATGTTTCATCCTCTAATTTATCCTGTCATTTCTCTTTCCATCGTTTTACCCTGTATCCCCTTTCACTTTGTCTGTACGCAATACCACTACAGAAGAACCAGCAAATCCAGACTAACTTAGATACCCTCACCAGAGAGGTGTTTGACCTGCAGGAAACGATAAACTGGAAGGACAAAAAGATTGGGGTAGGAGGTCACGCTAGGGACTCTGAAAGATGTGAGAGGCAATAGATGTGCACAGACGTGTTTCGATAGCTTGCTTAGTTTTGGTTGTATGTCTGACTCTGACCAAATGGGAATTTGAATGGTTGTGTTCAGATTCAATAGCCTTCACCCAAAATTGTACATGGGTCTTTCTATAAATAATGGGGACAATGTGTGACATTGGGATCAAAATTTGAAACAAAAATAAAAAGGATTTTCATGCAGTTCCACATGAGTACTTAGAGGAATAAAAGTGAATGTATGCAAATTGCCCCATAACTCCACCTATACAACAACATAGGCCTAGGACTATACATCCTTTAAGCAGGGTTCATACAGATATTGGCAAGTCAATTTCAAGGACTTTCAGGGACTTTGTAAAGCACTTATTTGTAATTTAAGGACCTCAATGTTATACAATTGTATAATTAAATACGTGTACATATAGGGCCTCATATAGAACCCCCCTCCCCCAAAAAGCATGAAAAAAAGTAGGTCATTAGCCATTTTAAGAATAATGCATTTATTTTCATTATTACATTCTAAAATATGTGAGAATGTGGACCATTGCCTGACTAAATAGATTGGATGCATGGCGATTTTTCTCTAGCCTATGTAGTCAACGTAGGCACACAAAATAAAGCAATGTATAGCGATAGCATTAATATCACCATTTGAATCTCACCATCGTCATTTTTTATAATGAGAAAGTGACTAAAAACCAGGTTCCTTTTTTAATGGAATGATATGTATGGGAAGCCAACATTAGATGTTGTCGTCCTCATAATAACCGCATGTGGTTTTACTGCAACAGAGTAGCGCAACACCCTTCAATTGAAGTGGCGGGAAGCAAATGAAAGTGGCCACATCTCTCACATAAACGGATCAACAATGAAATCACGGACAATTATAAGGGAGCAGGATAACTTATAAATTGGCTACAATAATTACAATCACTTTTCAAGCACCAAATTGAGGAAATTTCAGATTTAAGGTAGGCTACTCCAAGCCCCTTATATTGTCTACAATTGCAGGTGTAACATGACAAATACATTTTGTTTTCCATGTTATTTTATTACCATATCATATTGTAAATAAGCCCACTAGGCTGTTGAATTTGTTGTCGTCATATCCAGAATAATTAATAGGAATAGCGTTGGGTGTCCTACACAATTGCGCACAGAAGACTCGGTGTCTAATCCGAGGCACAAAAACATAAACTCATTACCTTAATGCTTTCTCTGTTAAATCTAACGAGAGCCTGCCGTAAATCAAGCAGACAACAGATGATCAACATCAATTCGCTAGGGTATTAGATCCAACGTGGATCCAGGCACAACTGTCTTCACCAGCGTAACGAATGAGACACCAAAATATTCTGAGCCTTTCTCGCGAACACCCTTTTACCAACACTGTAAAATTATTGAAGAACCACATTGTCAGTATCAATTTAGGCTTTAAGTACCAAGGTGACTCTTTTGGTTAGAAGCATTCGATTTTGCAATGCGTACATTATTTAGGATTTGTTTGCCTATGAAAACGGTTTTCACTCCATAACGTAAGGAGACATGAAATGTTATGTAGTTACACTAAATTTCAGAGATCTCTATAGTAAAAACTGCCGACAGCTAGATCCATGATTCTTAGAGGGTTCAAGTTCAATGTCTAATTTAACTGATTAATGCTTAATATATGATGTAACGACAACTTACACTGCCATAAATGCAAGGACAGAAAAGTCATTTTATGTCACACGATTTTAGACAAATCCGTCAAGACACCAACCGTGATAAAGGATTAAACAGGTTTTAAATCAACTTGTGAATTTTATTGAATATAACTATGATCCCCCTTATCTTAATGTAATGATATGAAAATAATTGGCAGATTATTATCAATGACTTATAAACAGCTATAACAAGTTGTCCAGTGTAGGAAATCCTCACTGGTGCTCTAGTTTCTAGAAAGACCCGTAGTCCCCCCTCAAGTATTTAAAACATTGGGTTGGTGCAAGCATGGCTGGAGGAAGTTTCCACCATATTCCTTACACCAGTCCAATTCCTTTTTAAATCGTGAGAGGGAGTGTTACGAGTTTACAATTCAGCAGAAGGGTCGAGAATCAGACCACCCATATCAACCTGTAGACTTGCCTGAAGGAAACTTGGTGCTGATTCACCGATCAATTAAATCTGTATCAGATAATCGACTGGTCCTAAACAGTCTATTGCCTCTCATAGTTGCATGACAGGGACCCTGGATAATAGCCTGTAGTTTGACCAGTTCTAATTCACAGTTTGGAGTTTCCCTAAATGTGATGTGAATTGACGATTGTGGGCTCACTAATTTCCATTTTAAGTTGGATGCTGTGGTCATTATAGGTTAAAATGTAGATTTTATGTGCAATCTGCAAAGTTTAGTCAGTGCAAGGGAAAATGTGCACCTGCAAGCATTTGATGTATTGTGTATGAAAATAAATGGTGAAAGATCCATATGCCAAGTGGACATTTCTCCCTTAAAAATCGAATATTTGATTTACCCTGAAATGACAGCATGAGATCCATTTGACATGAGTCAAGACATCCCTTTCTTTAAAAAATAAAAATGTAGGCCTACACCTAAAGCTTTGCCTGTTTAGTGTCAGATTCTGTCTGTTATTTGGCCTTTAGCTCTCCCTTACAGCACTGTTTTGTCTTATCTGTGAGCATGTGGTGATTGTGTTAACATCTGTCACTTTGCCTTTCCAACTCAACCTTACCATTTTGGTGTGCCTTTTGTGTGTGCATACAGACATATGTGCATGTATCATTGTAGTGTGCGTTCATGTACCTATATCAGTCTTTCCAACCTATCCTCGCCTCTTCTTTCCTTTCTCTTGTCTTTTCTCCCTCCTGCGTGTGGCCACCAGGCCCTAGAGAGGCAGAAAGAGTACTTTGATTGCATTAGGAATGAGAGGGATGAGCTCAGAGATGAGCTGGCTGACATCAAGGCGAAGGCCAAAACAGGAGAGGTAGGTCTCACCACCAGAGGGCTGGGAATAGTACTATATATTCCCATTATATAGACGAAAGATGGTTACAGGAATAAGCTCGCTAGCAACCAAACGGTGATCAAAAAGTAAATTGTGGTTTGTATGTAGCCATTTGTCTTCTTGTGTACCTCGCTTTTTGTTGTATTTTCTTTTCTACTGTTTCTCCCACCTCTCACTCCCGATGTCAAATTTGTTGAACACTTGCGGTGTCTGTCAGTCTGTGTATAAGTCATGGAAACCTAAGTACAATGTCGCTTCATACGTGAAGCTCAATATTCTACGTGGTCTGCTCTGTGGCTTAATGTCGAACGGAAAAGTGTCCTCAACTCCTCAAACGCCTCCTCTCGCCGAGGATACTCATGAGTATCCTTTCGCCAGCTAGCGCATAACTTTTTTTGAAATCCGCCACACCCCCTTTGAATCAGCTGTTTTCTCTGAGAAAAGCATGCACATTTGAAAAACGATACGCTACTTATCCTTTTATCTATAAAATGTCTTGCGCAACCAGCTACGTTAGTTTTTATTACTTTAGACATTTATTTTGGGATTCCACCCGTCAGTCATTTGCTTGATGACGCACAAGGTGGAGGAGTCTCATTTCATACAAGCGCATTTGTTTCCTCGCCTCCGCTCCTCAAGGATTACCTTTTTACCTTTTTCAAAGTGGAGAGGATTGAGGAGAGGAGGGAAGCAGACCAATTGAGATTCTCCCCGTCTTTCTTTGACTCCTCCTAGAAACACGGCCTGGTCATCATCCCAGAGGGAATGCCTAACGGGGACATCAGCCATGACGACTCAGCCACAGGGATCACTGTGGTCACACAGGAGGCTGCCCAGGTGCTGGAGTCAGCAGGAGAAGGGCCTCTGGGTGAGTGGAGGGGACAGAACGGGCTCTCCTAAAGGGAGCATTGGGAGAGATAAATTAACTCGTATCTGTCATGTACATGCATTATTCAATAATACCAGGGGGAGCGCTCCATTGTTATTTTAGCACGGCTGTGCTTCGGCCATAGGTGCAAGGATCCTCTTATAATGATATTTTATTTCCTTTGCAGATGTTAGGCTACGAAAGCTTGCGGATGAAAAGGACGAACTCTTAGCTCAGGTACAAATCTTTTTCCTCTTCGACCCCAGTGACACAAGTTCTCATGTCTTCTTTTTGAACTGTCTGTGTGCAGCTGTTAAGTAATTATGTGTGGCGTTTCACAGATCAGGAAGTTGAAAATGCAGCTGGAGGATGAAAGGCAGAAGCACTCGAAGATGGAGAATGCCTTCACAGACGGCGAGAGAATGGAGAATGGCACTGATCTGCATGTCATCGAGATGCAGAGTAAGTCCCATTCCTGCCCAAACCTAAAAAGGTTGAGGCATACACGTCACCATTTATACTTAGCCTCTGAGTGAGTCTGTGTATAGACTTTCTCGTTACATTAAACATAGACAAAACCCCACTTGTCCAAAACATCCTATTAGCAGCTGCCAGTTCCATCTCTTCTTGTGTGCCAAGAACAAACAAACAGCAAGGCTCACATCTTTATTCCAGTGTCCTGCGTAAGGTAACTGTACTAACTCAAATGTTCTACTCTCTGCAGGAGATGCCAACAGACAGATAAGTGAATACAAGTTCAAGCTCTCGAAGGCAGAACAGGAAATGGGCACAATGGAACAAAACGTAAGTCATGGAAACACTGATATACTTTTCCACCAGTCCATATGTACCCTAGCTGACCATATGCCAACTGGATACATTTAGTGTTTGAATGAGAAAAGGAAAATAAATGTCAGATTCGTATGTGAAAGACTTGGTTGTGTTTAGTTTGTTTCATTATCCTCATATCCAGATCAACAGACTTGAAGGACAAGTGTCCAGATACAAGGCATCGGCGGAAAACTCAGAGAAAATAGAAGATGAACTGAAAATTGAAAAAAGGAAACTTCAAAGAGAGGTAAGGAACCGAACTAAAATCAAATGTCTGTGGCCAATGTTTGATTGTACATAAAATGTAATCTAACCTTCAATTTCTAACCATTCCCCTCCTTTTCCCACAGCTGCGTACGGCGCTGGATAAGACTGAGGAGATGGAGATGACCAACAACCACCTAGTAAAGCGCCTTGAGAAGATGAAGGCCAATCGGAATGCCCTTCTGTCTCAGCAGTAAGGTCTGCTGGATTGCCACAGAAGCCCTTAAACTCACACCTCAGACCTTTGATATTGTGTCTGGAGCACATTTCCATTCTTCCTCAGTAACACTTAAAGCTGTGTAGCAAAACCCAAAAACACTAACAGAAAAAAAGCAACACTGGTAGCACAGAGGCGAAACTGTTTAAAAAAATAAATAAAGGAGAAGCATTGGTTTGTTAGTGTCTTTGGGAGACTCAAAAACCATAGTTACTAGGGGGAGATGATGAATCTAAGAAATTCGACTCATTACTTACTTTACTCAAAGCTTTGTACTACATCATGTTATTCACAAGGTTTTACTGCTCTCTCGCTGGGTCTTTGGCTATAATTTTTTTAAATAAGTTGCATGAATGAGTATAATGGCGCTTTTTAACTGTTAAACCCTTAAGGCTGTTCTCTGGCCCTGCACCTATCCATAATTCCTCACACAGTGAAGTGCCTTCTCACACCTGGAGACTGAGGGTTTTGCATTAACCAAACAATTCAAAACAATAATTAGTATTGGTACAGAATGTATTTAAAGGTGCAGTCATGATTTGATCAAATATATAGAACCAATTGTCTGCAGAGGTTTCATTGATTTCTCGGCAATACGTGTGAATGTCAGAACTGTAAATACAAGGTAGATTTTTTTTTTTTTTAATTGCATGGGTTATGGCACATTGAATTCCATTTGGAAGAGTGATGGTTTGAGGTTCTTTATTTGGAGTGAAAGGCAAGTACATCAGAAGATGGCACTACATACCACTTTCTTCTCAAACAGTGTTCGCTGTTCTGAAAGCCGTTTCAAGTCTCAGGACCACAGTGATTGTGTCTGGGGCAGCTACCGCATTGAAATATTCTGAATAAACTCTGTACCAGATTTACACTGCCCTTTGTTTCAGTTTATATTGTTTCCATTAATCATGAACACGTTGTTAATGATTGAATTATCCCAACACTACACTATACCCAGGCACCATAGCATGTAAAGCTACTAGCACCTCAATCCCTTATGATGTATAGGATAATCCACTCAGTAAAAGTTAATGGTTAGAGCTACCAATGCGTATCTTAACCACAGCCTAAACCATTTGGAAGATGAGGGTTTACAACAAAAACAGTATATATACACAAAATATCAAAAAGGTTTCCAAAACAGACATTCAAATCATAGCAGCCCATGGACTGAGTCTTTTTCTCATGTCTTAGCACCGCTCAAACACTTTGTAGAGGTCCGGTAGGTTGGCAATCTGGAGTACGCTGCCATCCTCACTGAAATGTTTAGGGGGACTGAAGAGGCTCCGGAAGGCTTTGAACAGGAGATGCTCCACCTTCCAACGCCACGAGTTCAGCTCTGCATCCTGCAACACATATTTACAACCATAGTCTCGTTCAGTATGTGCTAAATGGGACCAAAAGTTTAAACTGAAAATATAAGAGCAGGTTCTGGAGTGACATGGCAGTATTTCTTACATTTCAAAATTATTTGCTCCTGAATCCTTTCTTGGTCTCTACTAAATGTGACCTAGGTGTCATCAACTGCCCACATATCAGATTGACAAGTGCGAGGCCCATTATAATCACTGAACAGGGTTGTGTTCATTATTGGCCAACTCCAGTAGTCCTTCCCTGTCAGTCCATTTCCTTCTGTTTGGTGCCTAATGAAAACCACCCAGGATGGCGCATCTGACATACCTGCTCCTCCTCTCCCGGCTCCACCTCCAGAACATACTGTTTCCTGATCGAGTAGAACTGGCTGCACTCCTTGCTGAAGTCTCTGAAGCAGTCCTTCTCATTATCCCAGTTCACCTACACAACCCCTCTGATTAGTCACTTTAGTCTATAAAGAACTTATTGATAAGACATGGTCATGGATAAGAATAGTTCACACCTCAGTAGCCAAACGTAGGATGAACATTGGCAGACCCTCCATAGGAGGGGTGTACTTGTCAAGCAGCAATGGCAAACCAGTGAGATTTCCTTCCTGCAAACAAGACACATACTGATCTTAAGTTTTGCCCTGATGTCATGCATGAATTACATTTAGGAGTTAAGTGCTAATGTTACAACAAGGTATGATTGCAATGTTTTTGTCAGCACAGACAGGATACAGAGGGTCAGCAGACTGACCTGGTCTATCTCCATGGAGAAGTAGTCCTCCAGCATCTCAGATTTCTTCTTCAAGAAGTCGACTATGTACTGGGCCAGACCCTCCTTGGGCCCGTCATCCTCCGACCAGCCGCTCTCCTCGGAGTCCAGAGCAAGCATGGCCATGTCATAGAGTGGCGCAGGTTCCTGGAACAACACAACATCAACAAACCAACTCGGAGCCAAATATCTGGGCTCGTATTCACAAAGCGTCTGATCTAGGTTCAGGTCCTCCCTGTCCATTTTATCTTATTCATTATTATCAAAGGCTAAATTGATCTTAGATCACTCCTACTCTGAGACTATTAGTGAAAACAGGCCCAGAATCACAGCCTCTGGATATAAGAAAAGTACCTATCTCTAGTCTGGTACCTCAATTCATTTTCCAGGCATTGATTTAGGGTTGTCACGATACCAAAACTTTACTAACGATACCATGCCTAGTATCACGATACACCAAGTAATATCGCGATACCACAGCGGGGAAAACTCAGTGGACTAGCGCCCTGTTCGCCCCGTCCCCCGGACGATTGTTCCTGTTTTCTAAACATTATTTGCATGTGCTAATGCAAAAAACCTGTCACTGATATTCACACTTCTACTCAAAACAACACATTAACTTAATTCACACCGTTCACTGTATAATCTAATACTGCATAGAATGGATGATTTGCTCATATTTGCAAAAGACCTACCTGTGATTTGGCTTGAGGAATGGGAGGAAGGAATATACATTATGATCTGGATGTCATTGTGGCAATATGTTGAAAACGTTACTCTTCAGTTAATTTTTTAAAATATTTTTATTTAACTAGGCAAGTCAATTAAGAACAAATTCTTATTTACAATGACGGCCTACACCGGCCAAACCCGGACGACGCTGGGCCAATTGTGCGCCGCCCTATGGGACTCCCAATCACGGCCGGTTGTGATACAGCCTGGAGGGGGGTCTGTAGTGACGCCTCAAGCACTGAGATGCAGTGCCTTAGACCGCTGCGCCACTCAGGAGTTAATACAGACGCTCTCCCTCAAACACACACACACACACCTCTCTGTCCAATATACAGTGCATTCGGAAAGTATTCAGATCCCTTCCCCTTTTCCACAATTTGTTATGTTACAGCCTTATTTTAAATAAAAAATCCCTCAATCTACACACCATACCCCATAATGACAAAGCGAAAACAGGTTTTTTGACAATTTTGCAAATGTATAAAACATAAAACATATACCTTATTTACCTAAGAACTCAGACCCTTTGCTATGAGACTCAAAATTGAGCTCAGGTGCATCCTGTTTCCATTGATCATCCTTGAGATGTTTCTACAACGTGATTGGAGTCCACCTGTGGTAAATTAAATTGATTGGACATGATTTGGAAAGGTCCCCAAGAACACAGTGGCCTCATTCTTAAATGGAAGAAGTTTGAAACTACCAAGACTCTTCCTAGAGCTGGCCGCCCGGCCAAAATGAGCAATCGAGGGAGAAGAGCCTTGGTCAGGGAGGTGACTAATAACCCAATGGTCACTCTGACAGACCTCTAGAGTTCCTCTGTGGAGATGGGAGAACCTTCCAGAAGGACAACCATCTCTGCAGCACTCCACCAATCAGGCCTTTATGGTAGAGTGGCCAGATAGAAGCCACTCCTCAGTAAAAGGCACGACAGCCCACTTGGAGTTTGCCAAAAGGCACCTAAAGTACTCTCAGACCATGAGAAACAACATTCTCTGGTCTGATGAAACCAAGATTGAACTCTTTGGCCTGAATGCCAAGCGTCACATCTGAAGGAAACCTGGCACCATCCCTACGGTGAAGCATGGTGGTGGCAGCATCATGATGTGGGGATGTTTTTCAGTGACAGGGACTGGGAGACTAGTCAAGATTGAGGGAAAGATGAACGGAGCGAAGTACAGAGAGATCCTTGACGAAAACCTGCTCCAGAGCGCTCAGGACCTCAAACTGGGGCAAAGGTTCACCTTCCAACAGGACAACAACCCTAAGCACACAGCCAAGACAACGCAGGAGTGGCTTCGGGACAAGTCTCTGAATGTCCTTGAGTGGCCCAGCCAGAGCCCGGACTTGAACCTGATCTAACATCTGGAGAGACCTGAAAATAGCTGTGCAGCTACGCTCCCCATGCAACCTGACAGAGCTTGAGAACATCTGCAGAGAAGCATGGGAGAAACTCCCCAAATACAGGTGTGTCAAGCTTGTAGTGTCATACCCAAGAAGACTCTAGGCTGTAATCGCTGCCAAAGGTGCTTCAACAAAGTACTGAGTAAAGGGTCTGAATACTTATGTAAATGTTTTTTTTGGGTGCAAATTGTTCTTGGTTTGTCATTATGGGGTATTGTGTGTAGATTGATGAGGGGGAAAAAACTATTTAATCCATTTTAGAATAAGGCTAACAAAATGTGGAAAACGTCAAGGGGTCTGAATACTTTCCGAATGCACTGTACATACTGCTCCCAACTTTAAAAACGTTAGGCACCTAACAATTTAAGAAGCACCAGAAATAGATAGATTTTTGATACAGTTTAGGCTTACATTAGGCCTATATGAATCCTACCATTTGGCACCTTCCTGTGCCAATCAAATTGGCCTAGACCTACTGTCAAGTTACCAGGTTGTTAGCTAGCTAGGTAACATGACTGAACAATGTTTGTTATCAAAATGGTTTCATATGGTTTATGAAATTATATAAAAAGCGTGCAAAATCACTCCGGTAATATGGAACTTGCAATTGCAAAGCCCACTCAGGCTGGCCTGTGCATGGTTATACAATGGCGATGAAATTACACAATGCATCAACTTTGCTCGCTCTGCACACTGCTCCAATGTACAAATGTAACAACAGGAGACTCATCAGGATCTGCATCCCACTCGCCATCATGGCAAAATTATATTTAAAAAACTGATGGAGGAGGGCATCTCGAGTGGCGCAGCGGTCTAAGGCACTGCATCGCAGTGCTAGAGGCATCACTACAGACACGGGTTCGATCCCGGGCTGTGTCTCAGCCGGCCGCGACCGGGAGACCCATGAGGTGGCGCACAATTGGCCCAGCATCGTCCGGGTTAGGGGAGGGTTTGGCCGGCCGGGATGTCCTTGTCCCATCGCGCTCTAGCGACTCCTGTGGCGTGCCGGGCTCACGCACGCTGACTTCGGTCGCCAGTTGTACTGTGTTTCCTTTGACACATTGGTGCAGCTGGCTTCCGGGTTAAATGAGTGTGTCAAGAAGCAGTGTGGCTTGGCAGGGCCGTGTTTCGGAGGACTCATGGCTCTCGAACCTTCGCCTCTCCCGAGTCAGTACGGGAGTTGCAGAGATGGGACAAGACTAACTACCAATTGGATATCATGAAATTGGGGAGAAATAGGGGTAAAAAGTACCAAAAAATTATAACTTTTTTTTAACTGATGGAGGAATAGATGTGCAGGGAGAGCGGATTGCGAGAAGCAGGTGAGTGATGGCTGGAAGGGGATGCGGCTTGCTGATCACGTGAGATGCGCAGGAAAGTGAAGTGGAAATTAGAGAGAAATAGTCATGCTGTCTTTTTGTAGAGACCAACTCCGCCATAGTTCGTTGGAAAAAGCCTATGGGGAAATGAATAAGGTCTGTGGTAAACACAGGCTTAGATCTTATACGTTTTATTCTGAGATAATCTTCATCAGCTAACACCACTTTGTGAATTTTGAAGGATTTATGTATTCAAAAAAAGCACAAAGGCTTCATAATTTATAAAGTTAATGTTACTGACAAAACGTATAAGATCTCCTCCTAAGCCTGTGTTAACCTCAGACCTTATTTTCAGCGCTTATCCCAAAACCCTATTCATTTTCCCCATAGGAATGGCTGAACGAACCAGAGGTAACTAATTTCCAGTTTTTAGGACTACAAGTTGGCGAGATCTATTGGACTGGCGCATACAATAGACTAGCTGTTGTTTAAAAAAAATGTCACTGAATTTATAAACAAAACTGACTTTATAAACATTTTAACAGGTGCCAGTTGGTTCTTTAGATCGGTAGGGCCGAAAAATATGGCTGTATCATATCAGACGGTACTACGGTATTCTAAAATGTTAGTATCATAAGTATCGTGACGTTTTGGTACCGTGATATTACCGTGGTACCGGTATACCGTGCAACACATTGATGCGTGTCATACTTACAGATAACCTCAAGATGCCAAAGTTGCCGAAGTCGTAGATCAAAATTTGGTAGAATAGCTCCTGGCTAAAAATGAGAAAAAGCCAAATATTCAGCACCTTGAGCAACCGCACATGAATACTTTTCAATGTTTTTCTAAACACTTCTACATTAATGTGGATGCTACTATGATTAGGGATACAGTATAATGGATGAGTGAGAAAGTTAGAGGCATAAATATCATACCCCCCCAAAAATGCTAATCTCCCGTTATTGGAAATGGTGAGAGGTTAGTATGTCTTGGGGGTATGACCTTTGTGCCTCTTTCTCACTCATCATTATTCATGACCCATTCATGATTATCCATACTCATGGTAGCATTCACATTAATGTATGTGTTCAGAAATCTATTCTTATTTATAATAAAAGTGACTCCAAAATGTTAATACATTATTTACCATTCATTCCTATCGGGCACAACATAATCTGAAACACAACCAAAACAAACCGCAAATGCATCCAACAAGTTTGTACAGTCACAAGCTTGACGTAGTCATTGCGTGCTAGGAATATGGGACCAAATACTTTTGACTACTTTAATACACACAGTGCCTTCAGAATGTATTCATACCCCTTGACTTATTCCACATTTTGTGTTACAGCCTGAATTCAAAATAGATTATAGATTTTTTTTGTTCACACCCATCTATACACAATACCCCATAATGACAAAGTGAAAATGTTTTTTTTTAATATTTGCAAATTTATTGAAAATGAAATGCAAAAATATTTAATTGACAAGTATTCACACCCATGAGTCAATACATTTTAGAATCCCCTTTGGTAGCGATTACAGCTGTGAGTCTTTCTGGGTAAGTCTCTAAGAGCTTTGTACAATATTTGCCCATTATTATTTTTACAATTCTTCAAGCTCTGTCAATTTGGTTGTTCATCATTGCTAGACAACCATTTTCAAGTCTTACCATAGTTTTTGACTTAAATCTGCTTGAAAATCAAACTCAGCAACATTCACTATCTTCTTGGCAAGCAAATCCAGTGTAGGTTTGGCCTTGTGTTTAAGGTTATTGTCCTCCTTAATAGTGAATTCATCTCCCAGTGTCTAGTGGAAAGCAGACTGAACTAGGTTTTCCTCTAGGATTTTGCCTGTGCTTAGCTCCATTCCGTTTCTTTTTTATCCTGGAAAAACTCCCCTAGTCCTTAACGATTACAAGCATACCCATAACGTGATGCAGCCACCACTAGGCTTGAACATATGGACAGTGGTACTCAGTAGTGTGTTTTATTGGATTTTCCCAAAATAGAACACTTTGTATTCAGAACAAAAAGTTAATTGCTTTGCCACATTGTTTGCAGTATTACTTTAGTGCCTTGTTGACAGGATGCATGTTTTGGAATATATATTCTGTACAGGCTTCCTTCTCTTCACTCTGTCAATTAGGTTAGTATTGTGGAGTAACTACAATGTTGCTGATCCATCCTCAGTTCTCCTAACACAGCCATTAAACTCTGTTTTAAAGTCAACATTGGTGAAATCCCTGAGCGGTTTCCTTCCTCTCTGGCAACGGCGTTAAGAAGGACGCCTGTATCTTTGTAGTGACACACCATCTAAAGTGTAATTAATAACTTCACCATGCTCAAAGGGATATTCAATGTCTGCTTTTATTTTTTTTTACCCATTTACCAATAGGTGCCCTTTTTTGCAAAGCATTGGAAAACCTCCCTGGTCTTTGTGGTTGAATCTGTGTTTGAAATTCAATGCTCGACTGAGGGACCTTACAGATAATTGCATGTGTGGGGTACAACGATGAGGTAGTCATGTTAAACACCATTACTGCACACAGAGCTAGTCCATGCAACTTATTATGTGACTTGTTAAGCACATTTTTACTCCTGAACTTATTTAGGCTTACCATAACAAAGGGGTTGAATACTTATTGACTCGAGACATTTCAGCTTTACATTTTTTTAAATTTAGAAAAACATAATTCCACTTTGACATTATGGGGTATTGTGTGTAGGCCAGTGACACAACATCTCAATTTTAAATTCAGGCTGTAACAACAAAATGTAGAAAAAGTCAAGGGGTGTGAATACTTTCTGAAGGCTCTGTATACGTGAATTTGTCCAAATACTTATGATGCCTTCAAATGTGGGGACAAGATACATAAAGTGCTTACATTTCTAAATGGTAAAACAGATATGAAGATACCCTCTGATAAAAAGGTGATTCTTTACTGTCGCCTCGTATGAAACATTTTTATCTCAAATCCAAAATGCTGCCGTTTAAAGCCAAATTATACGTTTTAGCTTAACTGTCCACATAAATACGTAGGGGAGTGCATGTGGTTCTGACCTGAGTTTGGTGGTGTTGAGAAGGTACAGTTTGGTATGGTGCTGGATCAGAGTCCACTGGGGGTTGACACAGCCCACAAACGAGTGATTCTGAAGCATCTCTTGAAGACCTGAGGAAGACCAAACATATTTGACAGGCACTCAAACCAAATCTTCTGCTAAGTGTTTTTACCATCCTTAGTTTACTACAATCTCAATTTTCTGTAATAAAGTAAGTACAGTATTGAAACAGCTATGTGCAAAGTAACTTTCTTGACCTGATGGTGTCAGCAAAGACAATCACAAATATAGTGGAAAATCTACAGTATATAGTGTGATGTAGTGGATTAGCTCTTTCAATCGCGTTTCCCCTTACTCAGTTCTCCCCCTTTCACACACTACTTCTAACCTATGGTAGTTAGAATTGAGACACCCGCAGACACTGTGTCCAGTATTTGATGATGGATGGATGGAGTTGGGTATACCTTTGTGTGCGTGCTCAGCGATGTCATCTCTCAGCTTCTTCACACTGCTCAGCTTGATGGCTCGTCTCCTGGTTGTGGCTGCAGCAGTCAATTCCTCCTGCTCCTCATCCTGACCAGCACGGGGACGCTTCCTGGGCCAACCCAACAACACCACACACTGCTATTACACACAGACATAATCCATACACTGCTTTTACAAACAAGTAAACGCACACCATACTCAGTTAAATACGTGCGCACACACATATCTCCATACACCACTAAATCCACAGACACACTCCATAAACCACTTAATACACCAGACACAGACTATTCAAACAAGCACTCAATGAATGTACCCCTAACGCCTACAAAGAAGTCATCATCACCTGGGGAGATCAGCTGGAGTATTTAGGCTGGTTCCCTCCCCTTCCTCTGTGGTACCATGCGCCTGTTCCTGCAGGATCTCTGCATTGTCCATCTCTTCCATGTCTTTGGTGGTCACAGGCTCCCCCCTGCTCCGCCCATTAAGGTTGGCGGTGGGAGTAGGGACCAGCTTGGAAGCCGGCTGGAGAAAGGCGTCCAGCTTTTGGGCTCTACTGTCGGTCCTCACCATCTGATGGGCGTAGACCCGCTCACTGTCCCCTGTGGAGCTGGAGGAAGGCTTCCCCTCGCTGGTGGAGACGGACAGCCCAGGCAGCAATGTCTACAGAGAAATAGGTCAAATGGATAACTTTTGGTTCTTTTTCATCTCAATTCCAAGAAAGCAGCTACTATTTTTTACTACTACTACTACTACTACTACTAATGATTCTACACACCAACTAATCCACTAAAGAAAGGGAAAGAGAATTGCATACACACAGTTTAGCTTATTGGCACATACTGTATGTTTCATAGCCAAATATAGTTTTAAATACCTACTAGTATAATATCCTGTTAAAAACATTACAATGACATTCAGCATGGAGGACTACAGGGCTAACAGCACCTGTGTGAAGTATGTGCGTGAGGAGTTGGAGCCCAGGAGTTTGCTCTCTATGTGTTTTTGAACGCTCTCGATGATACAGTCTTCGTGGAGGAAGTGCACCTCGTGTTTGGTAGGGTGGACATTCACGTCGATGTTATGAGGGGCAATCTCCAGGCTAAAGCATCAGAACAAAGAACAGTAAATACAACCAGAAACGATTTGCTTTCCAGTTAAGTGACAGTAACCGGAGTTACCTGAGATATAGAAATGGGTGAGTGTTCTTGGGAAGGTATGCAGCATAAACGGTCTCAATGGCTTTTTTTAAGGCACTCGATTCCACCAGACGATCTGAGGAGAAAACAAGACTATTAGTAAAAGTTCACAGGAATATCGTATTCGAATTCATATAACTAGTTAATTTAACATAGCATTCCTGTGGCACATACGATTGATGAAGAGGATGAGGATGCACTTTTTCACTGAGTAATTGGCGTTGGAGATGTGGCCCTTCAACTTATAGGCAAGCTTCTGATCCTCACAGCCCACTTCAATCAGCTCCCTATGGAAAAGAACGTGCAACACACTGCTCATTCTCTTCACACGACAGACTCAACGGCAAAACTGGTGTCAATGACGTCATTATAACCAGATTTCAACTAGTTGTAATATGGTTGTAATTAAGTTATTTCAATCAGTGTCGCCCGCTGGGGAAGGTCAAGATCACTGAGCACAGGAAAAACCAGCATAAGTCCAATTAACTTATTAACTATGCAAAACACATCAGATTATAGCTCAAAGCATTCATTAACAGATCAAGATTATAACTCTGTATGGCTGCATATACAATTCAAAATGGGTGGCATAACCTCTATTCACTCAACGAGGAACTGACATCCCAACATGAGTAATCATGGAGGGCAATTTTTTTTTTCTCCAGTACCTGCTGACTGCATTGCCAAACACCACACGGATATTATCCAGTATGGAGGCGTTGGGTAGGGTCCTGACGTCTGCCATGGTCTCGCCTTGCTGGAAACAGACAGAATATTTGTGACATATAACCAAAGTCTCCTCCCTTCAGGGACAATGACCTCAGGTGAAAACATCAAGGGTAAGAAATGTGAAAGAAAATAAACAATCTCACCTTTTTGACAGCAAAGCTTTTCCCAGAGTTGTGTATCGCATACCTGTAAAACAAAGATCCTAAATATATTATTTGCATGATTCACAACACAAAATATTTGCAATGCTTGACCCATGAGATGTGCACTGGTAGTGATGGGAATGACACTGTCTGAGGCCACACACCTGCTCACCACCTCCACAATCCTGGAGTACTCCTCACTGGGGCTCTTTAGGGCTTTCCTCCTGGTGGACACGTTGTAGAACAGATCCTCCGCCTGTGGATGTTCAGAGATATTTGAAGTTCTCTTTTGTACATTATAGTTCATATAACCTGCAGTTGTCAGTGGCCATTTAATGAACTCACAGTGATCTGTGTCCCCTGGTTTCCAGCGCAGGGTTTGGGTTGGGTCTTTAGTTTCCCATCACAGTAGGTGGCTCTGAGGAGGGTGAGGGCAGTACTTAGACTGAGGATTCAAACATATTACTGAGCATTTCGACAAAGTACTGATGGCCTCGTCAAGCAAAGCATAATCAAATATTAGGTTACCTGTAAGCACACTTGGCATCAGCCGTTTTGGTTGTTATGGTCACATGGGCAACATGGCTTATACTGGCAAGTGCCTGAAAACAAACACACACACACACACAGGTAACAGGTCACATGGATAGTACAGAAATATTAGAATTGAAAATATAACTTTGCCCATATAAGAATAGCCTATACCAAATACATCCCTATTACAATGTAACCCTGACAATGTGGATGATCAAATTATTCAAATGATCAAACAATCTGAAATACTTTACCTCTCCTCTGAAACCATAGGTTGAGATAGAGTTGAGGTCTTCAAAAGTCTGGAGCTTGCTTGTTGTAAACCGTTCACATACTATTTCCATATCTTCTTTCTTCAAAGAGAAAGTAAAACAGTCAGAGGGAAATTGAGAAGTGAACCAAAATATAGACTAGGTGGAAGTTATTTATTTTGCTTGCATGACTCACTCACAGACTCACCTCACAGACTCTCTCTCTCACTCACACACACACACACTCCTCTTACCCTGATGCCAGTGCCATTGTCCTGGATCTGGATAAGTTTCAGACCCCCCTCCTTCACAGTCACTTGTATGTTGGTGGACTTGGCATCTAAACTGTAACATTACAGTGAATGCAGATTTCATATGGTGATCCAAACTGATATCTTCTCACAAACCAAATTGCAAAGACTTCGTACAGTAACTATATAAACAATCAGCTGTCATGAGAATAGCAACTGCTGCACAGCTACAGTTAGCTATGGATATAACTCCAATGTGACAAGTATTGATCACATTGGCGTTATTTCCATAGCTAGCTAATCTACAGCTAGCTAGCCAGTGGTGTTGTCTGTGTGTAGCTAGCTAACTAGCCAGCCAGCAGATTTCGCTTGTTTACACTGAGCTGCACTGGGGTCGGAACACAATCATGATTAGATTAAGACACAGTCGAGCCGGCGCGAGATATGGGTCGGAAAACGTACCTCAATGCAGGGATGGGATGTGCCACTGTTCTCCATATTTTACCTATATCCAAACTGATACATTGAGAAATACTGATAGTTTTTCCTGGAAAACTGCCCTTTTCATCCTCATGCTAGCTAGCATTAGCCACCACTGCCAGTCAGCCAATCAGCTCCTTTGTTGTTCAAAGCAACGTGCAATTCCATAAATGCAGGAGAAGCTTGTTGCTGTTGCAAATGACGGAGAATCTGTGCTGACGGGGTCCAAAACAGAGGTAGTGAGCAGGCTGCGTGGCAACATGTCCTACATGCTAGGCATCCACTAGGGTCCAGTGCAGCAAACTTCCACAGTACATCAAAATATGTGTGTGTGTGTGTGTTGGTGGGTGGTATATATATTTTTTACATTAGTAATTCATACAAATGTTGTTATTCATACATGCACTTCTAAAACTTTGTTACACTGTTGTATTCTCTAACATACAGACCTGGACCCAAGCTGAATACTTATCTGGCCAACACAGACACCTATGATTAGAACATCCTCAGTTCTCATAAAAATGATTATAAACTGGGGAGTGGCTCCTGGATGCTAATTGGCTGAATGTCGTGGTATACAGTGCATTCGGAAAGTATTCAGACCCCTTGACTTTTTCCACTTTGTTATGTTACAGCCTCAATCTACACACAATACCCCATAATGACAAACCAAAAACACGTTTTTAGACATTTTTGTAAATTTATTAAAAATAAAGAACTGAAATATTACATTTACGTAAGTATTCAGACCCTTTACTGAGTACTTTGTTGAAGCACCTTTGGCAGCGATTACAGCCTCTAGTCTTCTTGGGTATGACACTACAAGCTTGGTACACCTGTATTTGGGAAGTTTCTCCAATTCTTCTCTGCAGATCCTCTCAAGCTCTGTCAGGTTGGATGGGGAGTGTCGCTGCACAGTTATTTTCAGGTCTCTCCAGAGATATTCGATCGGGTTCAAGTCCGGGTTCTGGCTGGGCCACTCAAGGACATTCAGAAACTTGTCCCGAAGCCACTCCTGTGTTGTCTTGACTGTGTGCTTAGGGTCATTGTGCTATTGGAAGGTGAACCTTCGCCCCAGTCTGAGTTCTTGAGCGCTCTGGAGCAGATTTTCATCAACAATCTTTCCTTCGATCCTGGCTAGTCTCCCAGTCCCTGCCGCTGAAAAACATTCCCACAGTATGATGCAGCCACCACCATGCTTCACTGGTGCCAGATTTCCTCCAGACGTGACGCTTGGCATTCAGGCCAAAGGGTTCAATCTTGGTTTCATCAAAACAGAGAGTCGTTCTCATGGTCTGAGAGTCTTTAGATGCCTTTTGGCAAACTCCAAGCGGGCTGTCATGTGCCTTTTACTGAGAGTGGCTTCCGTCTGGCCACTCTACCATAAAGGCCTGATTGGTGGAGTGCTGCAGAGATGGTTGTCCTTCTGGAAGGTTCTCCCATCTCCACAGAGGAACTCTGGAGCTCTGTCAGAGTGACCATTGGGTTCTTGGTCACCTCCCTGACCAAAGCCCTTCTCCCCCGATTGCTCAGTTTAGCCAGGCGGCCAGCTCTAGGAAGAGTCTTGGTTGTTCCAAACTTCTTCCATTTAAGAATGATGGATGCCATTGTATTCTTGGGGACCTTCAATACTGCAGACATTTTTTGGTACCCCTTCCCCTGCAACTCCCCACCAAGTCTCCGACCACTACTTTGTATCCTTTTCTCTCTCGCTCACTCACTCTCCTCCAACACTACTCACTCTGCCCCTACTCAGATGGTAATGCGCCGTCGCAACCTTCGCTCTCTCTCTCCTCTTCCATCCTATCATCTCTTCCCTCTGCTAAATCCTTCTCCCTCCGGTCTCCTGATTCTGCCTCCTCAACCCTCCTTTCTGCATCTTTTGACTCTCTATGTCCCCTATCCTCCCGGCCGGCTCGGTCCTCCCCTCCTGCTCCGTGGCTTGATGACTCATTGCGAGCTCACAGAACAGGGCTCCGGGCAGCCGAGCGGAAATGGAGGAAAACTAGACTCCCTGCGGACCTGTCATCTTTTCACTCCCTCCTCTCTACTTTTTCTTCCTGTTTCTGCTGCTAAAGCCACTTTCTACCACTCTAAATTTCAAGCCTCTGCCTCTAACCCTAGGAAGCTCTTTGCCACCTTCTCCTCCCTGCTGAATCCTCCTCCCCCTCCCTCCTCCCTCTCTGTGGATGACTTTGTCAACCATTTTGAAAAGAAGGTTGACGACATCCGATCCTCATTTATTAAGTCAAAGGACACAGCTGGTCCTGCTCACAGTGCCCTACCCTATGCTTTGACTTATTTCTCCCCTCTCTCTCCAGATGAAATCTTGCGACTTGTGACGGCCGGCCTGCCCGCTTGACCCTATCCCCTCCTCTCTTCTCCAGACCATTTCCGGAGACCTTCTCCCTTACCTCACCTATCAACTCATCCTTGACCACTGGCTATGTCCCTACCGTCTTCAAGAGGGCGAGAGTTGCACCACTCCTCAAAAAACCTACACTCGATCCCTCCGATGTCAACAACTACAGACCAGTATCCCTTCTTTCTTTTCTCTCCAAAACTCTTGAGCGTGCCGTCTCTAGCCAACTCTCCTGCTATCTCTCTCAGAATGACCTTCTTGATCCTAACCAGTCAGGTTTCAAGACTGGTCATTCAACTGAGACTGCTCTTCTCTGTGTCACGGAGGCTCTCCGCACTGCCAAAGCTAACTCTCTCTCCTCTGCTCTTATCCTTCTAGACCTATCCGCTGCCTTTGATACTGTGAACAATCAGATCCTCCTCTCCACCCTCTCCGAGTTGGGCATCTCCGGCGCTGCTCACTCTTGGATTGCGTCCTACCTGACAGGTCGCTCCTACCAGGTGGCGTGGCAAGAATCTGTCTCCGCACCACGTGCTCGCACCACCGGCGTCCCCCAGGCCTCAGTTCTAGGCCCTCTCCTATTCTCTCTATACACCAAGTCACTTGGCTCTGTCATATCCTCACATGGTCTCTCCTATCATTGCTACGCAGACGACACACAATTAATTTTCTCCTTTCCCCCTTCTGATAACCAGGTGGCGAATCGCATCTCCGCATGTCTGGCAGACATATCAGTGTGGATGTCGGATCACCACCTCAAGCTGAACCTCGGCAAGACGGAGCTGATCTTCCTCCCGGGGAAGGACTGCCCGCTCCATGATCTCGCCATCGCGGTTGACAACTCAATTGTGTCCTCCTCCCAGAGTGCAAAGATCCTTGGCGTGACCCTGGACAACACCCTGTCGTTCTCTGCTAACATCAAAGCGGTGACCCGATCCTGCAGGTTCATGCTCTACAACATTCGCAGAGTACGACCCTACCTTACACAGAAAGCGGCACAGGTCCTAATCCAGGCACTTGTCATATCCCGTCTGGATTACTGCAACTCGCTGTTGGCTGGGCTCCCTGCCTGTGCCATTAAACCCCTGCAACTTATCCAGAACGCTGCAGTCTGGTGTTCGACCTTCCCAAGTTCTCTCATGTCACCCCGCTCCTCCGCACACTCCACTGGCTTCCAGTTGAAGCTTGCATCTACTACAAAACCATGGTGCTTGCCTACGGAGCTGTGAGGGGAATGGCACCTCCTTACCTTCAGGCTCTGATCAGACCCTCCACCCAAACGAGGGCACTATGTTCATCCACCTCTGGCCTGCTAGCTCCCCTACCTCTACGGAAGCACAGTTCACGCTCAGCCCAGTCAAAGCTATTCGCTGCTCTGGCACTCCAATGGTGGAACAAGCTCCCCACGACACCAGGACAGCGGAGTCACTGACCACCTTCTGGAGACACTTGAAACCCTACCTCTTTAAGGAATACCTGGAATAGTATAATAGTAATCCTTCTAACCCCCCCTTTACTACCACTGTCTTTTGTCTAAACTAACAACTGACTTATTTCACCTGCTAGCACTGACTTGTTTAAAGAAATGTACTTATTGTGATCGAGATGTAGTTGTCCCTGATTGCACTGACTTTGCTCACAGCTGCTTGTTTGAAGAAGTGTACTTACTGTGATCAAGATGTGGTTGTCCCACTGGCTATCCTAAGTTGAATGAAACAATTTGTAAGTCACTCTGGATAAGAGCGTCTGCTAAATGACTTAAATGTAAAATCTGTGCCTCGACACAATCCTGTCTCGGAGCTCTACGGACAATTCCTTTGACGTCAGGCCCCGTGTAGCTCAGTTGGTAGAGCATGGCGCTTGCAACGCCAGGGTTGTGGGTTCGTTTCCCACGGGGGGCCAGTATGAAAATGTATGCACTCGCTAACTGTAAGTCGCTCTGGATAAGAGCGTCTGCTAAATGACTAAAATGTAATGTAAAATGTTTTTGCTCTGACATGCACTGTCAACTGTGGGACCTTATATAGACAGGTGTGTGCCTTTCCAAATCATGTCCAATCAATTGAATTTACCACAGGTGGACCCAATCAAGTTGTAGAAACATCAAGAATTATTTATCAATGGAAACAGGATGCACCTGAGCAAAAATTCGAGTCTCATAGCAAATGGTCTGAATACATATGTAAATAAGGTATTTCTGTTTTTAATTTTTAATACATTTGGAAACATTTCCTAAAACCATTTTTTGCTTCGTCATTATGGGGTAGTGTGTAGATTGATGAGGGTAAAAAAAAATATTTAATCGATTTTAGAATAAGGCTGTAACGTAACAAAATGTGGAAAAAGTCAAGGGGTCTGAGTACTTTCCGAATGCACTGTATGTAAGGGATAATCAACAAGAGGCTATGCGTTCTATGGAGTTGAACTAACCTTCCACGGACTTGCATTATTTTCCAGAGAACGTATAGCCTCTCGTTGATTATCCCTTACATATACCACAGCTAGAGCATAGAGTAAGGGGGGGGGTAGAAGGATTACTTTATCCTATCCCAGGTATTCCTTAAAGAGGTGTGGTTTCAAATGTCTCCGGAAGGTAGAGCATGGCGCTTCTTTCATTCCTTCTTTACTTGCTTCTGTTCCTCTATCATTTTCCTTACTTTCCTCCTTTGCTTTCCTAGCTCTCGGTCCTCCTATACTTAACTTTCTTTACTTTCCTATCCTAGCTTCCTTTCCTCCCATCCTAGCTTTCTTTCCTCCTTTTCTTGCTCCCTTTCCTTTCCTCCTTTTCTAGCTTTATTTCCTCATTCCCTTTCTTTCCACAACTTCCTTTCCTCCTATCTTAGGTCTCTCATCTACCATTCCTAGCTTCCTTTCCTTGATCCCTTTCCTCCCCTCATTGCTCTTACCTTATATCCTTTCCTAACGCTACACATTTTGCCATGCGACAGAGAAACATTTAAAGTTTTAAAGCAAATTTCCAGCAATTCTACACATTATCTGGAAAATAAGTGAAGAGAGCAAGGAAAGGAAGCTAGGAAAGGAGGCTAGGAAAGGAAACTAGAACGTTAGGGAAATAAAGGGCACAAGGAAATTAGGAAAGTAAGCTAGGACATGAGGAAAGGGATCTAGAAAAAAGGAGAAGGAAGCTGGAAAAGGAGGATTGGAAAAGACCAAGGAAAGGAAGCGAGGAAAGGAAAGGTAGCTAAGAAAGAATATGAGGAAAAGGAGCTTGGAAAGTAAAGAAGGGAGGAAAGGATGGTGAGAGTTTAACAAAAGGAAGCTAGGAAAAGAGGAAAGGAAACTAGGAAAGGAGAAGAGAAAAGGAAGTTGGAAAGTGAACAAGGAAATTAGGAAAGAAAGCTAGGAAATGAGGAAAGAAAGCTAGGAAATGAGGAAAGGGATATAGAAAAGGAGGAGGGGAGAGGAAAGGAAGCTAAGGAAGGAAAGGGAGCAAGAAAAGGAGGAAAGGCAACTGACATTTACTTCTGAGGTGCTGACCTGTTGCACCCTCTACAACATGGTTCCCCAACTGGCGGCCCAAGGGTGGTTTTATGTGGACCCCCAAGTCTTCTGAGCAAAAATAAATAAATAATTTGTAATTATGTTCCGGCCCCATGACCATCCGCTCAAGAAAAAAAAATCTGCCCGCGGCTGAATCTAGTCGATGATCCCTGCTCTACAACCACTGTGATTATTATTTGACCCTGCTGGTCATCTATGAACATTTGAACATCTTGAAGAACAATCTGGCCTTAATGCCCATGTACTCTTATAATCGCCACCCGGCACAGCCATAAGAGGACTGGCCACCACTCAGAGCCTGGTTCCTCTATGTTTCTTCCTAGGTTCCTGCCTTTCTTGGGAGTTTTTCCCTAGCCACTGTGCTTCTACATCTGCATTGCTTGCTCTTTGGGGTTTTAGGCTGGGTTTCTGTATAGGCACTTTGTGACATCTATTGATGTAAAAAGGGCTTTATAAATAAATGTGATTGATTGATGGTAAATGCATAAAGGGAACTAGGAAAGGAAGAGTGGAAAGGAAGCCAGTGAACAAAAGGGAGCAAGGAAAGGAGATGAATCTAATATAGTAAAGGGAGCAAGGAATAGAGGAAAGGAAGCTAGGAAATGTAGTTAAGAACGATAGGAGGAAAGAGAGTGAGGAAAGGATCATTTGCTTTTGTTAACGACTCATTTACTTTGGATCATGACATGTGTTTGTGAAACTATCTATCTATATGGGCATATTTACAGACAGATTTTTATTTGAAAGTTGCATTCTGTATTTGCACACAACTCTGTTTGTGACTCACTATATATATTTACAACATTTTGATAGAACTCTATCTCCTTAGAGCTAGCCAGCTAACTCACGTTAAATGACGTTAGTACTATCAGAAACACAATTATGTACACTTATAAACTCTTAGCTTGAACGCTAGCTAGCTACTATTGTTAGCAATATAGCTAACAATTAGCATTATTTCTTTCTAGCTAGCTAGTTAACCAACTTACCAGTTTTCAAGCAATTCTTTGATAGCATTAGCAGGACGTTGGATAACTTCTCCAGCAGCAATCCGATTAACAACGGTCTCATCGAGTCTCAGAATCACCCCGGACATACTGCCAGACTGTTAGCATAGATTCAGATTGTGAATATTATCAGAGGTAACACAAATAGCTGCTTAAATAGGACAACCATCACAACATGTTGTTAAAAGCGCGGGGGAGAGTGAGGGGATTCGATTAACCTCGTCAGTGCGCCCGTGTAGGCATGATTTGCACTGGCTGAAAGTTGATTGCATTCGATTTGGAACCGGGCTGCCTCCCGGACGTGTCAGGTGCCCCGCTCTGTCCGACGGCCAAATCGCCTCAAAACAAAAGTGAAGTAATTAAGTACGTGTAGTGATTAGTAGGATTCTGTGTTTTTCCATGCAAAAGTAATATCTGCCTTCCCAATAAAAACTAGTTGGAAAATGCACACGTTTATTTTATGGAAAAGAGATGTTGTATGTTTCTGGACGATGCACCATACTACCTTGTTGACAAAATAACGGAGAGGTGCCACTTACTGCCCGATGATGTGACGGGCTTTTGCACGGTTCAACCCGGGCCAGTGTAAAATAACACCCTGTGTCAAATCTCTTCTATACAACCCCATGATTGGCTGTTCCTAAAAACAAGTAAACTGTAGCAGCCAATAGGGATGGGGTTTGCTGTAACAAATCGCGAGGTGACTGTATTTACTGTGATACAATGCAACTTTCTGTTTTGGTATAGATTACTACTAGCGTGCATTATGAAAAATATATATTTTATATTTAGCTACCATGAAAATTGGCACATGCTGTCAGTCTGCTGGAGATTAACATCTAATAATTTACATAATAATCATCATACAAAAAATAAAATCCTTATTTTTGTGTCATATATTTTATATTAGTTAAACATGTTTTGTGGTTTTAAAAAAACAACAACCGTTTTTACACTTTTGAGCAACAGCAACGTCATATTTTGGGTTCCCGCAGCATGACCTGGATGGGATAGAATGCTGTGAGCAGTGCATCAGGTGGGTGGCGCTGTTTGGTAACCATGACCAGGCTGAACTTCTCAATGCGGTCCAGCATGAACTCAGTTCTGGCATACTGAGGACCATCTGTGGAGCGCACCAGGCTCAGGTACCTACCGAGAGACGACATATATTGAAATCAGTCTCGCAGCCCTGCATTTTTTTATGTCTTACATCAACTCTTAAACGTAAAAAATCAAACTAGAACTGAGAAAGGTTGATATTGAGATGATCTATGTGCTGGCAGTGAGTGCTCGGTACTGTACCTCTCTTCTTGCAGGAGCTCCTTGTTCATCAGCTGCTCACTCAGCCCTGGGTTCACCTGGTCTAGCTGTTTCTGTACACTCTCAAACAAGTCCACCTCCATCATGTTAATAACCAAGGGCTTTCCGAACCTGCAGACAGGATCACACAACATCAGAACAGCCTTTCTATTCATATATACATTTCTCTGTGTCATTCTTCTGTCCATCCACTCCTTTATTTATACAAAAACAATATTTTTAGTGACATATTTACTGTTGGCAATAGCCAAAAAAGACAGGAATTCAAATGAGCAGCCCAACCCTAAATTTGATATACATTAAGGTTTTACAGCAAACTCTTAAAAACACTTCTTACACCTGCTACTGTTATTGATGTGCATAACTCAAATTTAGGATTAGGCTGCTCATTGCTGGCACCCCTATAATATCTCTCTCTCACACCTGATGGCCCCCAGTAGAGCGAGCCTCAATTTGTCAGGCTGAATGTCTCCAGGGTGCAAGGCATCCAGGTAGTTAGTGTCTCTGTAGCGTAGAAATGTGGCAGCCTGACCAGAGGTATCCACAAGCAGGGGCCACCTAACATCCGACAGACAGCCAGAGTGGATAAACTTAATTAACTGAATCTAATGTTAAATTGTAAACAGAGAGATTAGCTAAATACAGAAAGATGAACAACCTGTTTGTGTTTTGCTTGAGCAGCTAACCTGAGGGCAAAAAGTCATACTAAAGTGAGTAAGTAATTATTATTAACATTTTTAAAGGTTACCCTTACCTGCCATCCTGCTTGATCTTGCCGCCTACGTCTTTAATAAGAACTTCCTCAAGGTCCCCAACCAGGCAACGAACCCCACCACGGTCCAGGACAGCATCTTAGTTCACATAAACACACCACTGTGAGAATATTACATTTTGTGTCGCTCCAGGGAAAGGTGTGTATGTGTGTGAAGGTACCATGTTCATCTGTACAAACAATAGTACGCAAGTATAAACACCATGGGACCACGCAGCATCATACCGCTCAGGAAGGAGATGTGTTCTGTCTTCTAGAGATGAACGTACTTTGGTGCGAAAAGTGCAAATCAATCCCAGAACAACAGCCAAGGACCTTGTGAAGATGCTGGAGGAAACAGGTACAAAAGTATCTATATCCACAGTAAAAATGAGTCCTATATCGACATAACCTGAAAGGCCGCTCAGCAAGGAAGAAGCCACTGCTCCAAAACCGCCATTAAAATGCCAGACTACGGTTTGCAACTGCACATGGGGACAAAGATTGTACTTTTTGGAGAAATGTCCTCTGGTCTGATGAAACAAAAATATAACTGTTTGGCCATAATGACCATTGTTATGTTTGGAGGAAAAAGGGAGTTCTTGCAAGCCAAAGAACACCATCCCAACCGTGAAGCACGGGGGTGCCAGCATCATGCTGTGGGGGTGCTTTGCTGCAGGAGGGACTGGTGCACTTCACAAAAAAAGATGGCATCATGAGGAAGGAAAATTATGTGGATATATTAAAGCAACATCTCAAGACATCGGTCAGGAAGTTAAAGCTTGGTCGCAAATGGGTTTTCCAAATGAACAATGACCCCAAGCATACTTCCAAAGTTGTGGCAAAATGGCTTAAGGACAAGAAAGTCAAGGTATTGGAGTGGCCATCACAAAGCCCTGACCTCAATCCTATAGAAAATGTGTGGACAGAGCTGAAAAAGCATGTGCGAGCAAGGAGGCCTACAAACCTGACTCAGTTACACCAGCTCTGTCAGGAGGAATGGGCCAAAATTCACCAAACCTATTGTGGGAAGCTTGTGGAAGGCTACCTGAAACGTTTGACCCAAGTTAAACATTTTAAAGGCTATGCTACCAAATACTAATTGAGTGTATGTAAACTTCTGACCCACTGGGAATGTGGTGAAATAAATAAAAGCTTAAATAAATAATTCTCTCTACTATTATTCTGACATTTCACATTCTTAAAATAAAGTGGTGATCCTAACTGACCTAAGACATGGAATTTTTACTAGGATTAAATGTCAGGAATTGTGAAAAACGGAGTTTAAATGTGTTTGGCTAAGGTGTATGTAAACTTCCGACTTCAACTGCATGTGTGCGTGCGTGTGACATTACATACCTCCACCAGACTGCTCTCTCAGTGTCAGCTTGGCAAGGGATAGTTGCTCTGCAGCCTCATGAGCTGCTATTTGAGCTTTCGCCAACACATCTTCAGCATCATGAACCACCTTTACACACACACACACACAGAGAGATATATACACACACATACGTCAGTACTGATACATACATCAGTACTGAGACTGATACATACATCATTACATTAGTACTGAGACAATACAAATTTAGCAGTGTGCTAAAAGAATACAGTGGTTACCTGCAACGTGACTTTAGCCTGCTCCTCCATACCCTTCCTCACACATTTGTCATGTTCTGTGATCCTCTTATTCAGCTCAACGAAGGCCTTCTGCAGCTACACACACACACACACACACACACACACACACACACACACACACACACACACACACACACACACACAGGGAGAGTGACGTCAGAGTGGTGAAAGGGACATTTTTCCTGTTAATCTTGGAACTACTGATTCCAGATGTGTCTTACCTCTCTCTGGCATCGCTCATGCTCGTTCTGGAGCTGCTCCACCTCCCCTTTCAGGCTGAGGGAAAACACAGGCCATTTTTTGTTTGCACTGTTTCCCCCTATCAGTGAGAAATGTGTGGGGAAATCATGTCAGCTATTCTCTCTCTCTCTCTCTATCTGTCCTCAACTCAGCAAAAGTGACTCTGCAGGACTGGCTAGATGATGTGACTTAACAGGACCGACGCGCCGTTGTGTTGAAGGAGAGGGGGAGTAGATAGAGATAAACATATTACAAATAGTTAACACATTGCATCATAATGTGCACACAACATCTGATCTCTGGCCAGGCTATTCAGTTTATCTTACTGTTCTGGCTGGATTTTGCATCCTACTCTGTTCTCTATGCTATACACATGAGACATGACCTAATTAGACTATGTTTGGGAGCATATAGGTTTTGAGAGTTGGGCGTGACTCTTACCGATGAGTCTCCGCCTCGTTCTGCTTTTTGTCTTCCTCCGCCCTCCTCTGTTCCTCTGCCTTCATCTTCGTCAGCATGGAGTCAGTGGCACTCAGATCCCAGTTCTGTAAAGCGGCAATCACAGCCTCTCCAGAAGCCACCTGGAACATGCCGACAAAGACATAAGCCCAAACATGGCTTGTAAAACACAAATACACAGCCACCCTCTGTCTCTGTCTCTGTCTCTCACACACACACAAACACACATACAGAGAGATATAGAACCCTGATTATTGTCTATGCGCGCTCACAGCCACACACACCTGCTCTGGAGTACTACCATCATCTGCATGGGTCCTCAGGTCTGCCCCCAGCTGTAGAAGGGTCTGCACTGCGCCAAGATGGCCTCCAAACGCAGCTCTGTAGATTGGCGTCCGTCCAAACGCACCCTATTAAAAAACACACTTCCTGACATACTTCTGCTATTGCATAGGCCTCAGGCATGGACACCTACAGTGCATTCAGAAAGTATTCAGACCCTTTCCATTTTGTTACGTTACAGCCTAAATAAATACAAATTCTCAATCTACACACAAGTACTCAGACCCTTTGCTATGAGACTCGAAATTGAAATCAGGTGCATCCTGTTTCCATTGATCATCCTTGAGATGTTTCTACAACTTGATTGGAGTCCACCTGTGGTAAATTCAATTAATTGGACATGACTTGGAAAGGCACACACCTGTCTATATGAGGTCCCACAGTTGACAGTGCATGTCAGAGCAAAAACCAAGCCATGAGGTCGAAGGAATTGTCCGTAGAGCTCTAAGACAGGATTGTGTCGAGGCACAGATCTGGGGAAGGGTACCAAAACATTTCTGCAGCACTGAAGGTCCCCAAGAACACAGTGGCCTCCATCAATCTTAAATGGAAGAAGTTTAGAACCACCAAGACTCTTCCTAGAGCTGGCCGCCCGGCCAAACTGAGCAATCGGGGAAGAAGGGCCTTAGTCTGGGAGGTGACCAAGAACCCAATGGTCACTCTGACAGAGCTCCAGAGTTTCTCTGTGGAGATTGGAGAACCTTCCAGAAGGACAACCATCTCTGCAGCACTCCACCAATCAGGCCTTTATGGTAGAGTGGCCAGATGGAAGCCACTCCTCAGTAAAAGGCACATGACAGCCTGCTTGGAGTTTGCCAAAAGGCACCTAAAGGACTCTCAGACCATGAAAAACAAGATTATCTGGTCTGATGAAACCAAGATTGAACTCTTTGGCGTGAATGCCAAGCGTCACGTCTGGAGGAAACCTGGCACCATCCCTATGGTGAAGCATGGTGGTGGCTGCATCATACTGTGGGGATGTTTTTCAGCGGCAGGGACTGGGAGACTAGTCAGGATCGAGGGAAAGATTAAAGTACAGAGAGATCCTTGATGAAAACTGTCACGTTTCGGCCGAGGCTGCCTCTCTCCCTTGTTCGGGCAGGCTTCGGCGTTCGTTGTCTCCGGAGTACTAGCTGCCACCGTTGTATGTTTCATGTTCGTTTGCTTCTGTCTAAGTGTTGTCACACCTGTTTTCATTCAGTGTCATTAGTGTCCTATTTAGTTCCCGTTGTGTGTGTCAGGTGTTGTGTAATATTGTTTTGTGTCAGATGTGTTTTCGCTCGGTTGAGCTTCTCTCCACTGCGCTGGAGTTACGCACCTGTTTGTGCGCTGTTCAGTTTCGTTTTCGCCTTCGTGCGTATTTCGCCTTCGGGCAAGAGTTGTCCGTTTTGCCGTGTTTTCGGCTAAATACAAGTTTGTTGGATTATCCGTCTGCGTCCTGCAATTGATTCCGCCACTACACCTACAGCACACCTTGACAGAATATTACACCACCTATGGAATCAGCAGGAGCCGCAGCAGCCCAGGCGACTCTGGAGGACAGGGTCCGGGAGCAAGGGGACCAGATCCTGCAGATGGGGACCGCCCTGCAGGAGGTGATCACCACCATCCGAGGCTGGGGGACGCCTGCACCGCCACCCTCCGTGCCAGCACCATCGGCCAGTCAGCCTAGTCCCGCACCAGAACCCCGAGGAGTCCGACTCTCGCTCCCGAGGGCTTACGATGGGACCGCAGCCGGGTGCCAGGGTTTCCTTCTCCAGGTGGAGCTGTACCTGGCCACCGTGCATCCGGCGCCCTCGGGACATGAGAGCGTGTCCGCCCTGATCAGTTGGTCGACATGTCCATCAGGCTGGATAACCTGCTAGCTACCCGCGGGCGATCCGAGGGGGGTCCGTCCATTTCACCCTCCAGCGCTTCCGAGCCGTGCCCCATGGAGCTCGGGGGTGCTGGCGCTAGAGAGAGGAGGCGTTTCCGTAGGGGCTTCCGTAGGGAGAGTCCAAACCAGGTGCCCGCATTGCACGTTCCCCCTGAGTATGGGGATTTGGCTATTGCGTTTAGTAAGGCGAGGGCGACGCAGTTGCCGCCCCATAGGCAGGGAGATTGTGCGATAGACCTCCAGGCAGAAGCTGCGCTCCCACGGAGCCATGTGTATCCTCTGTCTCAAGAGGAGAAGAAAGCTATGGAGACTTACATAGACGAATCTCTGAGACAAGGATACATACGGCCTTCCACTTCCCCTGCGTCCTCGAGTTTCTTTTTTGTGAAGAAAAAGGATGGTGGTTTGCGCCCGTGCATCGATTACCGTGGTCTCAATCAGATTACGGTGAAGTACAGTTATCCACTCCCGCTGATTGCGACCATGACTGAGTCGTTGCATGGGGCGCGTTTCTTCACAAAATTAGATCTCAGGAGCGCATACAACTTGGTGCGCATCAGGGAGGGCGATGAATGGAAGACAGCCTTTAGTACCACCTCGGGCCATTACGAGTATCTGGTCATGCCATACGGGTTGATGAACGCTCCGTCAGTTTTCCAATCATTCGTGGATGAGATCTTCAGGGACATGCAGGGGCAGGGGGTGGTTGTGTACATTGATGACATTCTCGTGTACTCGCCTACCCGTGTCGAGCATGTGGCCCTGGTGCGTAGAGTGTTGCGGAGGCTGGTGGAGCACGACCTGTATGTGAAGGCAGAGAAGTGTCTGTTTTTCCAGGAGTCGGTCTCCTTTTTGGGGTATCAGTTGTCTGCGTCAGGGGTGAAGATGGAGGTAGACCGGGTGTCGGCCGTGCGTAATTGGCAAACACCAACCACTGTGAAGGAGGTGCAGCAGTTTTTGGGGTTTGCGAATTACTACCGGAGGTTTATCCGGGGTTTTGGACAGGTGGCAGCTCCCATCACGTCTCTGTTGAAGGGGGGTCCGGTGCGTCTGCAGTGGTCGGCCGAGGCGGACAGGGCGTTTGGGAGGCTGAAGGACCTGTTTACCTCGGCCCCGGTGCTGGCGCATCCGGATCCCTCTTTGCCGTTCCAGGTAGAGGTGGACGCGTCAGAGGCCGGTCTAGGAGCCGTGCTTTCACAACGGTCTGGCGCGCCACCTAAACTCCGCCCCTGTGCTTTTTATTCTAAGAAGCTCAGTCCGGCGGAGCGGAACTATGACGTAGGGGACAGGGAGCTGTTAGCCGTGGTACAGGCCTTAAAGGTGTGGAGGCACTGGCTTGAGGGGGCTCAACACCCTTTCCTCATTTTGACGGACCACCGTAACCTGGAGTACATCCGGGCGGCGAGGAGGCTGAACCCTCGCCAGGCAAGATGGAATATGTTCTTGACCAGGTTTACTTTTAAGATCACGTACATCCCTGGGTCACAGAATGGTAAGGCAGATGCGCTGTCTCGGCGGTATGACACGGAGGAGAGGTCCGTGGAGCCCACTCCCATACTGCTGGAGTCGTGTCTGGTGGCACCGGTAGTGTGGGAGGTCGATGCTGAACTCGAGCGGGCGTTACGCACCGACCCTAGTCCACCACAGTGCCCGGAGGGTCGGAAGTACGTTCCGCTCGAGGTTCGGGATCGATTGATCTATTGGGCTCACACGTCACCCTCCTCTGGACATCCGGGTATCGGCCGGACAGTGCACTGTCTTAGTGCCAAGTACTGGTGGCCCACGTTGGCAAGGGATGTGAGGGTTTATGTTTCCTCCTGCTCGGTGTGCGCCCAGTGTAAGGCGCCTAGACATCTGCCTAGGGGTAAGTTACTACCCCTGCCCGTGCCACAACGACCATGGTCCCACCTCTCGGTGGATTTCCTTACTGACCTTCCTCCTTCACAGGGGAATACCACCATACTGGTCGTTGTGGACCGGTTTTCTAAGGCCTGTCGTTTGCTCCCCATGCCGGGCCTTCCTACCGCCCTACAAACTGCCGAGGCCCTGTTCACCCATGTGTTCCGGCACTACGGGGTACCCGAGGATATTGTGTCTGATCGGGGTCCCCAATTTACCTCCAGAGTCTGGAGGGCCTTTATGGAGCGGTTGGGGGTCTCGGTGAGCCTCACCTCGGGTTACCACCCGGAGAGTAATGGGCAGGTGGAACGTGTAAACCAGGATGTGGGCAGGTTTCTTAGAACATACTGCCAGGACCAGCCGGAGGAGTGGGCAAGGTACGTTCCCTGGGCCGAAATGGCCCAGAATTCCCTACGCCATTCCTCCACTAACCTAACCCCTTTCCAATGCGTGTTAGGTTACCAGCCGGTTCTGGCACCCTGGCAGCAGAGCCAGATCGAGGCTCCTGCGGTGGATGAGTGGGCGAGGCGCTCGGAGGAGACATGGAACGCTGCACACGTCCACCTGCAGCGGGCCCTCCGACGTCATAAGGCGAGCGCTGATCTCCACCGCAGTGAGGGACCGGTGTACGCACCTGGTGATCGAGTCTGGCTCTCTACCAGGAACCTGCCCCTCCGCCTGCCCTGTCGGAAACTGGGTCGGCGGTTTGTAGGGCCATTTAAAGTCCTGGGAAGGTTGAACGAGGTGTGTTATAAATTACAGCTACCTGTTGAATATAAAAGTATTAACCCCTCGTTCCATGTGTCCCTTCTCAGGCCGGTGGTAGCTGGCCCACTCCAAGACAGTGAGATCAGGGAGACTCCTCCGCCCCCATTGGACATCGAGGGGGCACCGGCGTACTCCGTGAGGTCCATCTTGGATTCGAGACGTCGGATGGGGGGTCTCCAGTATCTAGTGGAGTGGGAGGGGTACGGTCCGGAGGAGCGGTGCTGGGTGCCGAGGGGAGACATTTTGGACCCGTCTCTCCTGACGGAATTCCATCGTGGACACCCGACGCGCCCGGCTCCGCGTCCTCCGGGTCGTCCCCGAGGCCGGAGTCAGCGCACGTCTGGAGCCGCGCGTCAAGGGGGGGGTACTGTCACGGTTTCGGCCGAGGCTGCCTCTCTCCCTTGTTCGGGCAGGCTTCGGCGTTCGTTGTCTCCGGAGTACTAGCTGCCACCGTTGTATGTTTCATGTTCGTTTGCTTCTGTCTAAGTGTTGTCACACCTGTTTTCATTCAGTGTCATTAGTGTCCTATTTAGTTCCCGTTGTGTGTGTCAGGTGTTGTGTAATATTGTTTTGTGTCAGATGTGTTTTCGCTCGGTTGAGCTTCTCTCCACTGCGCTGGAGTTACGCACCTGTTTGTGCGCTGTTCAGTTTCGTTTTCGCCTTCGTGCGTATTTCGCCTTCGGGCAAGAGTTGTCCGTTTTGCCGTGTTTTCGGCTAAATACAAGTTTGTTGGATTATCCGTCTGCGTCCTGCAATTGATTCCGCCACTACACCTACAGCACACCTTGACAAAAACCTGCTCCAGAGCACTCAGGACCTCAGACTGGGGCGAAGGTTCACCTTCCAACAGGACATTTCTAAAATTTATAAAAAGCTGTTTTTGCTTGTCATTATGGGACATTGTGTGTAGATTGATGAGGGGAAAAAAACAATTTAATCCATTTTAGAATAAGGCTGTAACGTAACAAAATGTGGAAAAAGTCAATACTTTCCGAATGCACTGTAACTTCAATACTGAGAAAGATATATTTAGTTGTTCGCCTGCTGGAGAAAGTTTGTGGAAGACCTATGCTCCCCAAAGAAAGGGTATAAGTCAAGTCATGCTTGTTTTCCTATCAATAGATGTGTATGTTTGTGTGTGTCAGTGGGAATGGGTGGTGGAGGGAAGACACTCACTCTCACCTGACCAAGAGCTAATATTTCTGTTCGCGCTGCATTCTCTTACCCGTGTGTTTATGTCCGCACCGCTCTCCACCAATAGGGTGATGACTTCCGGCTGACCCCCACCTGCTGCTTCTGACACTGCTGTGTTGCCGTTGGCGTCTGTGATGTTAATCATGCAAAGTTGGTTTAACAGCCGCTGGTGTTTGCCTGCTTCATCCAACCCAAGACCACGCTTTGTGTCCCTATCAGAGACCTAGATAAGGACCAGCGCATCTATTAATCTTTGTCATGTCTTCATTACCTGTCCACACAGATCTCACAAATATCAGATATCAGTCTCACCTCCTTCAGAATTGCTAACACTTCCTCTGCCTCTCCATCAAACGCTGCTTCCAGAAGTCGGGTTCGCAGAAGTTTCTCTTCCTTCTTCCTCTTCCTCTCGTCCTCGTCCTTCTTCCTCTTCCTCTCGTCCTCTTCCTGTTCTCTTCGTACTAGTGCCACAAAAGCCTGCAGGCCAATCAAAACACACTTTTCAGGGTACACACACTTCTCATTTTCAGAAACAATAACATCACATTGATTGTGGACTACAACACACCCAAGCACACTCACAGATGTTATTTGAAAGAAGAACAAACAAAGGAGGAGATCTGAGTCAACATGTAATGCCAAGAGATCTATTACTCATAATTGAACATTTCAATATGTTGATATACTTTATAAATCCAAACCTAACACCATCATTTTCATATCTATTTAGCTAACCTCTTTCTCCAAGCGATCCATAAGGTCTTCATAGTCCTGTTTTTCCTTCTGTCTCCGGACCCGCTCTCGCCTGGCCAGCAGGCCTCGAGTGGCCTGCTGGATGATCACTACAGCTAGCTCCTCTGGAGTCGGCTCTACATCTACAACAACAATAACCATGCATACAGTTAGGACAAACAAGTCCCTATTATTTCAGTTTAGTTTCGGTTCGTTTTCAGAACTGATTTGCACATTTTTATTTAGTTTTACTTGTATAGAAATATTTATATTTCCTTTTTATATTATTTAGTTTCAGTTTTAGTGTTAGCGACAGAAAGCATGCGTGGGAGGCTAGGAACCATTTGTGTGTGTTTTTTTTATGTCACTTCTTGCAACTGGGGGGCAGTAATACATAAAGTGATGGTTAGGTCATAGGTTAGGTTAGGTTGAAATTATAAAGTAAATCTCAATGTGACTTGGATTTAAAAGGAATAGCGCTGAGACTGGTGTAAAACAAGATGGTGGAAGGAAACTCTCTCACCCATGTTTACACCAATCAAATGCTTTTTAACTGTAGTAGTACATGTAAGAAGAACCAAGTTAGCTAACTAGACGATTTGTCACCTATTAGCTAGTGATAGCTAGTGATGCACAAGCTAGGCCTATTTGAAACATCGCCTTCCCCTGGCTGCATTTACCCGCCAGATTCAGTAGCTTGAGAACCCCCCAAAAGCTTGAAAACCCAATTTGATTTTTTCCCAAAATGTTGAGAACGAAACTAAAACTGAACATAATTCACAATGGTTTTCATTTTATTTTATTTCATTTTGGAATCAAAGTTAATAGTTTCAGTATAGTTTTAGCCTCAGTACAGATTCATTGTATCGTCTTTGTCCATAAAGATTTAAGTTCTCTTTTACAATAACAACCTGACAAGAGTAACACAGCAAAGCCACAGACTCACACAACAACACCTGTGCAGTATACATAAGATTGTACAGTCGACTTTACTAATCCTATTTGTACAGACCAAATATTTGTTTTACCTGGAGGATTCAGTTCCTTTGTGCTGTTCAGTATGGTGACCTTGATGACAGCTATTTCCATTTTTTTATCATAATAATTTCCCATATAGGCCTATATTTATAATGTATAAAGTGCATTCAGAAAGTATTCAGACCCCTTCACTTTTTCCACATTTTGTAACATTACAGCCTTATTCTAAAATAGATCAAAATTCCTCATCAGTCTACTCACAATACCCCATAATGACAAAGTAAAAAGAGGTTTTTAGAAATGTTTGCAAATTTATTAAAAATCAGTACTTTGTTGAAGCAAATTTGGCAGCGATTACAGCCTCGAGTCTTCTTGGGTATGACGCTACAAGCTTGGCGCACCTGTATTTGGAGAGTTTCTCCCATTCTTCTCTGCAGATCCTCTCAAGCTCTGTCAGGTTGGATGGGGAGCGTCGCTGCACAGCTTTTTTCAGGTCTCTCCAGAGATGTTCAATCGGGTTCAAGTCCGGGCGCTGGCTGGTTCACTCAAGGATATTCAGAGACTTGTCCCGAAGCCACTCCTGCATTGTCTTGGCTGTGTGCTTAGGGTCATTGTCCTATTGGAAGGTGAACCTTCGCCCCAGTCTGAGGTCCTGGGCAGGTTCGCAATGATCTCTCTGTCCTTTGCTCCATTCATCTTTCACTCGATCCTGACAAGTCTCCCAGTCCCTGCCGCTGAAAAATATCCTCACAGCATGATGCTGCCACCACCATGCTTCACCATAGGGATGGTATTGGCCAAGTGACGTGACACTTGGCATTCAGGCCAAAGAGTTCAATCTTGGTTTCATCAGACTAGATAATCTTGTTTTTCATGGTCTGAGAGTCCTTTAGGTGACTTTTGGCAAACTCCAAGCGGGCTGTCATGTGCCTTTTACTGAGGAGTGACTTCCGTCTAGTGACTCTACCATAAAGACCTGATTGGTGGAGTCCTGCAGAGATGGTTGTCCTTCTGGAAGGTTCTCCAATCTCCACAGAGGAACTCTGGAGCTCTGTCAGAGTGACCATTGGGTTCTTGGTCACCTCCCAGACCAAGGCCGTTCTCCCCCGATTGCTCAGCTTGGCCGGGCGGCCAGCTCTAGGAAGAGTTGGTGGTTCCAAACTTCTTCCATTTAAGAATGATGGAGGCCACTGTGTTCTTGGGGACCTTCAATGCTGCAGAAATGTTTAGGTACCCTTCCCTAGATCTGTGCCTCGACACAATCCTGTCTCAAAGCTCTACAGACAATTCCTTCGACCTCATGGCTTGGTTTTTGTTCTGACATGTACTGTCAACTGTGGGACCTTATAAAGATAGGTGTGTGCCTTTCCATATGTCCAATCAATTGAATTTACCACAGGTGGACTCCAATCAAGTTGTAGAAATATCTCAAGAATGATCAATAGAAACAGGATGCACCTGAGTTCAATTTCGTGTCTCATAGCAAAGGGTCTGAATACTTATATAAATAAGGTATTTGATTTTGATTTTTAATACATTTGCAAACATTTCTAAAAACCTGTTTTTTTGCTTTGTCATTATCGGGTATTGTCTGTAGATTGATGAGGATTTTTTTTTATTTAATCCATTTTAGAATAAGGCTGTAACCTTAACCCTAACCCTAATACTTTCCGAATAAACTGTCTATGGTTTATAAATGTTTATTTAAGTTGATTTGTTGCATTTATCTAAATAAACGTTTTTGTATTAAATGGAAATAATAATATACTGTACATAAAAGGAATGTAGGCCTAGTATTTCATACCACTTCATGAATACCATCTGAGAGCTACAACTGAAAAGGCTCCAGACATAATTGCTTATTTGTTAACTAAAGGAGTATGGCAACAGTTGTCAAAGCCATCAATCCTGCTCTATGGTATGTAGTGAGGCAACTACAGTGAGGGAAAAAAGTATTTGATCCCCTGCTGATTTTGTACGTTTACCCACTGACAAAGAAATGATCAGTCTATAATTTTAATGGTAGGTTTATTTGAACAGTAAGAGACAGAATAACAAAACAAAAAATCCAGGATAATGCATGTCAAAAATGTTATAAATGTATTTGCATTTTAATGAGGGAAATAAGTATTTGACCCCCTCTCAATCAGAAAGATTTCTGGCTCCCAGGTGTCTTTTATACAGGTAATGAGCTGAGATTAGGAGCACACTCTTAAAGGGAGTGCTCCTAATCTCAGCTTGTTACCTGTATAAAAGACACCTGTCCACAGAAGCAATCAATCAATCAGATTCCACACTCTCCACCATGGCCAAGACCAAAGAGCTCTCCAAGGATGTCAGGGACAAGATTGTAGACCTACACAAGGCTGGAATGGGCTACAAGACAATCGCCAAGCAGCTTGGTGAGAAGGTGACAACCGTTGGTGCGATTATTCGCAAATGGAAGAAACACAAAATAACTGTCAATCTCCCTCGGCCTGGGGCTCCATTGAAGATCTCACCTCGTGGAGTTGCAATGATCATGAGAACGGTGAGGAATCAGCCCAGAACTACATGGGAGGATCTTGTCAATGATCTCAAGGCAGCTGGGACCATAGTCACCAAGAAAATAATTGGTAACACACTACGCCGTGAAGGACTGAAATCCTGCAGCGCCCGCAAGGTCCCCCTGCTCAAGAAAGCACATATACAGGGCCGTCTGAAGTTGCCAATGAACATCTGAATGATTCATAGGAGAACTGGGTGAAAGTGTTGTGGTCAGATGAGACCAAAATCGAGCTCTTTGGCATCAACTCAACTCGTCGTGTTTGGAGGAGGAGGAATGCTGCCAATGACCCCAAGAACACCATCCCCACCGTCAAACATGGAGGTGGAAACATTATGCTTTGGGGGTGTTTTTCTGCTAAGGGGACAGGACAACTTCACCGCATCAAAGGGACATCAAATCTTGGGTGAGAACCTCCTTCCCTCAGCCAGGGCATTGAAAATGGGTCGTGGATGGGTATTCCAGCATGACAATGACCCAAAACACACGGCCAAGGCAACAAAGGAGTGGCACAAGAAGAAGCACATTAAGGTCCTGGAGTGGCCTAGCCAGTCTCCAGACCTTAATCCCATAGAAAATCTGTGGAGAGAGCTGAAGGTTCGAGTTGCCAAACGTCAGGCTCGAAACCTTAATGACTTGGATAAGATCTGCAAAGAGGAGTGGAACAAAATCCCTCCTGAGATGTGTGCAAACCTGGTGGCCAACTACAAGAAACGTCTGAGCTCTGTGATTGCCAACAAGGGTTTTGCCACCAAGTACTAAGTCATGTTTTGCAGAGGGGTCAAATACTTATTTCCCTCATTAAAATGCAAATCAATTTATAACATTTTTGACATACGTTTTTCTGGATATTTTTGTTGCTATTCTGTCTCTCACTGTTCAAATAAACCTACCATTAAAATGATAGACTGATCATGTCTTTGTCAGTGGGCAAACGTACAAAATCAGCAGGGCATCAAATACTTTTTTCCCTCACTGTATCTATGTACTGAAGTCTACGTCATTTTACATGCTCTACAGCAGGGTTCCCCAACTGGCGGCCCACAAGCCGAATTTGGCCCACTAGTGGTTTTATTTGGCCCCCCAAGTTTTCTGAGCAAAAAAAAGAAAAGGAAAAAAAAGTTGTATTTTTATTTGTATTATAAATTTTTTGCATTTTCATTGTTGGACATAAAAGACAGTAGAAACACCAGCAAATCAGCTCCAAGGGATTTACATTTTGGAAATCTGTTCCCAATTATTCCCACGCATAATAGAGAGACATATGTGATCGTATACAAATAATAATAATTGATAGGATTTATATAGCACTTTTCTACCAACTGAGGTACTCAAAGAGCTTTACATAGTACGGGGAAACTCACCTCATCCACCATCAATGTGTAGCACCCATCTCAGTGATGCACAGCAACCATTTTTGTGCCAGAACTCTCACCACACATCAGCTATCAGGTGGCGAGGTGAGGAGTGATATATGCCAATAAGGAATGAGGGGGATGATTAGGTGGCCATGATGGAATGTGGCCAGGTTGGGAATTTAGCCATGACACCGGGGTGAACACCCCTACTCTTACAATAAGCACCATGGGATTTTGAATGACCACAGAGAATCAGGACACCCATTTTCACGTCCTATCCAAAAGACAGGACAATGTTCCCAAATGTAATCAAGGTTTGAAATGATTATGTTTTAGTCAAATATTGTATCTGTTTAGGCTTCTTGCGGTACATTTGCAGTCTACATTTTTTGTAAATTATTATGTTCCTGCCCTGACCATCTGCTCAAGAAATAATTGTCCCGTGGCTGAATCTAGTTGATGATCCATGCTCTACAGTTAATACTGCTCCCCTGTGTGCCTTGGGTGGTGCCTGCAGGAAAGAATTAGGGATCGCTTTCAAGCTTGCATCATTTCCTTTGACCACATCAGACTCCCATGGGTTTAACGAAGAGTAACAGACAGTTGTGTAATGTAAGCAATGTGTTCATTCTTCTGAACTCCAGGGTGGATTATAAATGTGTGATTGCACACTGTCCCCGGTAAGAAGAACAGAGCCGATCCTAGGGAAGAATCATATTCTCTTCTGGTCGAGTCCTAACTTCAGATGAGCGTGCTTAACTGGCTTTCTATTCTGTTCTGCCCCTATTGGGACACAAGCCAGCAACAACAACACATAAGGCAACCGTCTTTGCCAACTCGAACAACACAATATCGTCTATCATGCCCTGAGCGACAGTAGCTTTTTAGATCTCAGGGAAGGTATTGTGTCACCAATCTACTTCTGCCAACATACTACAGGCGAGTTTCACTTCTACTACACAAGCATTAGGCACACAGATCTCAACTTAGGACTCGGACCTAGGTGTATGAGGACAATCAAATCAGCACTTCTTTACATTGTTGCAATGGAAGTAAGCTAAAGGTAAATTGACTAATTGACTCATTTGGAATGGTAAGAATGAGCAATGCAGATCAGTACTTTTCTTTGGTGGTTGCACTGTCTTGGCACTGGCAGCAGCTTTGCCTTTGGACTGTCCACACTGGGTCACCCCAGTGCTCTGTCTGCGCTGTGGGGAGGCACCTTCCAGAGCACAAACAAAGAGGGGAAATTAGACTACACATTAGGAGAAAGAGAAACACATCTCTAAGTACAGACGGCCAACACATTTAATGGAATGGTAACCAAAACCAATTAACCAAAACCAAAATGTGTAGCTACTATCACAAGTTTAGGTACATACTTAAATGTTTCTACAGCATAGTAATTGAACGTTACTTTGTGTGTACAATGGGCTGGAGATAATGGTAACTAGCTAACGTTAATTGATATAAAGCCTGTTAAACAGCTTCAACCTGCAATTGCTTTGCATCTTCACTTCAGATCACATCATTTTACTCAGGCCTAAAACATTTTCATATTCGGAATCAGATCCCCATTGGCTAACGTCGTTAGACACCTGCTCTGCTTGAAGTTGAATTCCCATGCCATGCATGGTTTGCATACCTGCCTTTGATGATTGGACTGCTCCCTTCGACCGTGCCTTGGTTCCAGTTTTCCCTGGGCTTTTAGTACTACGTGAACTCATATTTAATCCAGATAATAGTTAGACGAAACAGTCTAGAAGCTCATAACTGTAGTACAATTAGCCTAAAATAGATGATGGTTTCAAACCTATCCAATTTAGCTGTTGGATTCACAATCACTTCCTGAACGCTCACTGGTTGACATGGTAACACTTGCGCTGCTTGGTCTGACGTGAGTGTAACATAGAAATAGAATGAATAGAATGGTTTTGTCCCCTTTCAAGTCAATGGGCGCGTTCTAGCGGATCCCTTTTGTCAAGTCGGGGACCATCCTTGGTCAACGCCTTTCAAAGTGTGTTGCATTATGGGGATACAAATTGTCTGACTTGTGCCTACCAATTAGTCGCTCTGGATAAGAGCGTCTGCTAAATGACTAAAATGTAAATGTAACATCATCCACATAAGAGTCATAGCTAAATATTTTTGTATGATTATACACTATTTTAGGACCAACTATTTCCCTTGTTGAAGGCACCTCTGTTCTCAGAACATTACGAAAACTTTTCATAAAAACCACAAGAAAACATTAGTAACATTCAAATAACATTCTAATAATGTTATTTAAAAACATATGCATTCAATTTCTCAGCATCAACATACAGTTGAAGTCGGAAGTTTACATACACCTTAGCCAAATACATTTAAACTCAGTTTTTCACAACTCCTGACATTTAATCCTAGTAAAAATTCCCTGTTTTAGGTCAATTAGGATCACCACTTTATTTTAAGAATGTGAAATGTCAGAATAATAGTAGAGAGCATGATTTATTTCAGCTTTTATTTCTTTCATCACATTCCCAGTGGGTCAGAAGTTTACATACACTCAATTAGTATTTTGTAGCATTGCCTTTAACTTGGGTCAAATGTTTCGGGTAGCCTTCCACAAGCTTCCCACAATAACTTGGGTGAATTTTGGCCCATTCCTCCTTACAGAGCTTGTGTTAATGTGTGTTGGCCGCACCCACTAATTGGCCACACCTGATCTTAACGAGTGCTTCTTTCCTCTTTGAATAGACTAAAATTAACAGTTTTCCATGAGTTAAAAAAACATGGCATGCTAGCTCCATGTGGCGCAGTGGACTAATTCAATGAATAAAGAGCAGAATATCATAGGTTCGAATCAAAACCAACTAATTGCAGGTTTTCCCGCAAAAATGGAAGAGGCAAGTGGAAGTGGGAGAAAGTGAGGAACTTTCGGCCCTGCATTAAAGACCCAAATTGGTTAAAGAAAATTGTGATAAATAAAAACGTATACCAGTTTCATTTAAGGACCAAAAAATTTACAGCTGTGCCATATATATTGCAAAATAGTTGGGAAGAGATTTTTTATGTACCGATTCCATGGCACATGGTTTATGAACTGATACACAAAACAACGCTGGATTCAAAACTTCAAGTTTTTAAATTTAAGTTATCAAACAAAATTATTGCAACCAATAGAATGTTATATATATACAGTGGGGAGAACAAGTATTTGATACACTGCCGATTTAGCAGGTTTTCCTACTTACAAAGCATGTAGAGGTCTGTAATTTTTATCATAGGTACACTTCAACTGTGAGAGACGGAGTCTAAAACAAAAATCCAGAAAATCACATTGTATGATTTTTAAGTAATTAATTAGCATTTTATTGCATGACATAAGTATTTGATCACCTACCAACCAGTAAGAATTCCAGCTCTCACAAACCTGTTAATTTTTCTTTAAGAAGCCCTCCTGTTCTCCACTCATTACCTGTATTAACTGCACCTGTTTGAACTCGTTACCTGTATAAAAGACACCTGTCCACACACTCAATCAAACAGACTCCAACCTCTCCACAATGGCCAAGACCAGAGAGCTGTGTAAGGACATCAGGGATAAAATTGTAGACCTGCACAAGGCTGGGATGGGCTACAGGACAATAGGCAAGCAGCTTGGTGAGAAGGCAACAACTGTTGGCGCAATTATTAGAAAATTGAAGATGTTCAAGATGACGGTCAATCACCCTCGGTCTGGGGCTCCATGCAATATCTCACCTCGTGGGGCATCAATGATCATGAGGAAGGTGAGGGATCAGCCCAGAACTACACGGCAGGACCTGGTCAATGACCTGAAGAGACCTGGGACCACAGTCTCAAAGAAAACCATTAGTAACACACTACGCCGTCATGGATTAAAATCCTGCAGCGCACGCAAGGTCCCCCTGCTCAAGCCAGCGCATGTCCAGGCCCGTCTGAAGTTTGCCAATGACCATCTGGATGATCCAGAGGAGGAATGGGAGAAGGTCATGTGGTCTGATGAGACCAAAATATAGCTTTTTGTTCTAAACTCCACTCGCCGTGTTTGGAGGAAGAAGAAGGATGAGTACAACCCCAAGAACACCATCCCAACCATGAAGCATGGAGGTGGAAACATCATTCTTTGGGGATGCTTTTCTGCAAAGGGGACAGGACGACTGCACCGTATTGAGGGGAGGATGGATGGGGCCATGTATCGCGAGTTCTTGGCCATCAACCTCCTTCCCTCAGTAAGAGCATTGAAGATGGGTCGTGGCTGGGTCTTCCAGCATGACAACGACCCGAAACACACAGCCAGGGCAACTAAGGAGTGGCTCCGTAAGAAGCATCTCAAGGTCCTGGAGTGGCCTAGCCAGTCTCCAGACCTGAACCCAATAGAAAATCTTTGGAGGGAGCTGAAAGTCCGTATTGCCCAGTGACAGCCCCGAAACCTGAAGGATCTGGAGAAGGTCTGTATGGAGGAGTGGGCCAAAATCCCTGCTGCAGTGTGTGCAAACCTGGTCAAGACCTACAGGAAACGTATGATCTCTGTAATTGCAAACAAAGGTTTCTGTACCAAATATTAAGTTCTGCTTTTCTGATGTATCAAATACTTATGTCATGCAATAAAAAGCAAATTAATTACTTAAAAATCATACAATGTGATTTTCTGGATTTTTGTTTTAGATTCCGTCTCTCACAGTTGAAGTGTACCTATGATAAGAATTACAGACCAATACATGCTTTGTAAGTAGGAAAACCTGCAAAATCGGCAGTGTATCAAATACTTGTTCTCCCCACTGTATATATATATATAGGGGATACAACCATCCCAGCTCTGCAGATTTTGCTGCGAAGAGACAGAATCATTAGATCATTTGTTTTGGTACTGTCCATATGTAGCTTGTTTTTGGTCGCAGGTTCTGGAATGGCTGAAGAATTGCAACATTTACCTGGAGCTAACTCTGCAAATAGCACTGTTGGGTCATTTAAAATGTCATAGTCAATCGATCAATAATATAATAACACTCTTAGCAAAAATGTTTATTTTTAATTTACAATCTGTAGAAACTATGAGAATAGAAAGGTTCAGAACTTCTGTGAAACAGCACAGTTGAAAAATATATGGTAAATAGAAAACTGGATGCTGTTCAAAACTGATAGATGGGAGGGGTTGAGTGGAGCTGAAAAGTGGGACTAAAAATAACAAGATAATGAATGTAAAATATACTGTGTCCGTAAAATGTATATAGGTTCAGAACTTTTGTGAAACAGCACAGTTGAAAAATATATGGCACATAGAAATCAACTGGATGGTCTTCAGAGAGAGACAGGAGGAGTTGCGGGTAGCTGAAGGATGGGACTAAAAACAAACAAAAGATATTGTAAAATATACTGTGTCTGTAAAATGTATGTATAAGCTGGAAGTAGAAGCCTAAGTGTTGTTGTCCATTAGTTTACTCCAATTAGGGGAGGGGTGGTAGGGTTAGGAGAAAATAATAAAGGAACATATATTTAATGTATATGTGCATTCGGAAAGTATTCAGACCCCTTGACTTTTTCCACATTTTGTTACGTTACAGCCTTATTTTAAAATGGATTAAATTGTTTTTTTCCCCCCTGAACAATCATCAAACAATACCCCTTAATGACAAAGCAAAAACAGTTTTTTTTTTAAATAAAAAACTTCAATATTATATTTACATAAGTATTCAGACCCTTTACTCAGTACTTTGCTACGATTACAGCCTTCAATCTTCTTGGGTATGACGCTACAAGCTTGACACACCTATATTTTGGGAGTTTCTCCCATTCTTCTCTGCAGATCCTCTCAAGCTCTGTCAGGTTGGATGGGGAGCGTCGCTGCACAGCTATTTTCAGGTCTCTCCAGAGATGTTCAATCGGGCTCAAGTCCGGGCTCTGGCTGGGCCACTCAAGGACATTCAGAGACTTGTCCCGAAGCCACTCCTGCATTGTCTTGGCTGTGTGCTTAGGGTCATTGTCCTATTGGAAGGTGAACATTCGCCCCAGTCTGAGGTCCTGAGCGCTCTGGAGCAGGTTTTCATCAAGGATCTCTCTGTACTTTAATATTTCCCTCGATCCTGACTAGTCTCCCAGTCCCTGCCGCTGAAAAACATCCCCACAGCATGATGCAGCCACCACCATGCTTCACCATAGGGATGGTGCCAGGTTTCCTCCAGACGTGACGCTTGGTATTCACGCCAAAGAGTTCAATCTTGGTTTCATCAGACCAGATAATCTTGTTTTTCATGGTCTGAGAGTCCTTTAGGTGCCTTTTGGCAAACTCCAAGTGGGCTGTCAAGTGCCTTTTACTGAGGAGTGGCTTCCGTCTGGCCACTCTACCATAAAGGCCTGATTGGTGGAGTGCTGCAGAGATGGTTGTCCTTCTGGAAGGTTCTCCCATCTCCACAGAGGAACTCTGGAGCTCTGTCAGAGTGACCATCGGGTTCTTGGTCACCTCCCTAACCATGGCCCTTCTCCCCCGATTTGTCGGTTTGGCCGGGCGGCCAGCTCTAGGAAGAGTCTTGGTGGTTCTAAACTTCTTCCATTTAAGAATGATGGAGGCCACTGTGTTCTTGGGGACCTTAAATGCTGCAGAAATGTTTGGGTACCTTTCCCCAGATCTGTTCCTCGAGATAATCCTGTCTCGGAGCTCTACGGACAATTCCTTTGACCTCATGGCTTGGTTTTTGCTCTAACATGCACTGTCAACTGTGGGACC